AAACACTCCCTGCCGCTGTGAACGACCAAAGTTGGTGCCAGTGAAAAACTTCAAGCGCCAAAAAACTTTTCCACCATTTACAGACAAGAACATCAGCAGAACATCCTGTGTCACAGAGAGAACACTCATGTTCCACTGACCGACAGACGCTGAACCACATCAGCAGCACAAGGAAAGAGCTGTTTATGTAAATGAGTCATGTGGTTTTAAGTTTTGTTTCTGTAAAATGTAAACACATCTGCAAAACTGCATTAAACACATTAGAATATTTTATTTTATTTTACAGTTAAATTTTTATTTATGTAATTAGGGATTTTTGTAATCTTAAATGTGGCAGAAGCTCTGTCTACCTCTTGCACTTCAATATAAAAAAAAGACATTGTGGAATTTGGCATATTTGTTTTTGCAGTAGTTCTGGGGATTATTTTTCCTCTACACATATCGAGATATATGTCGTATATCGAGATATTTTTGCTCCATATCGCCCAGCTCTACTTCTGGGGCTAATATTGTTATGTGATTAACTGAAATGAATTCATTTCAAAGCCTGTAATTAATTAGATATATATTATATATTTTTTTTTTTTATCAAGTCCCACCAGTAGTTTTAATGCTGAGTTCTTGGGTTAAGTCATGAATAAAAATGATCAGGTCCAACATTTGTGACTTTACCTTTTGGAGATTTCATGGTAAATACAACGTTATTAATTTATTAATTTGGACATTACACAGACAGAACAGGTCCAAGAACAGTCGATCGTCAAGGTCAGTTAAACACAAACAATCAATGAACCTGCCCAGAGACGACAGGTGGAAATCTGCACTGGTGCTAGTGGCTCCGACACTTCACCCACGTTGCCTCGTATGGAAGTGGTTTGTGTGTGAGTGATGTTGGTCGGAGGAACTGTTGGTGCAGCGCTTCTGTCAGTCTGCCCCAGGGCAGCTGTGGCTACAACAGCAGTTTACCATCACCAGGTGTAGAGTGAATGAATAATGCTGAATGTGATGCTCTGTAAAACGTCTTTGTGACAAAAATGTCTGCGAAAAGCGCTAAATATATATAAATAAAGACTTGCTTACTTACATTATTATTTTGATGTAAACTCGAAGAAGAATATTTAAATTCTGAACGATTTAATTCAGAATTTATAAACATCATGTAAACGTGTGATCCTGTCGGTCTGTGATCTGTGAGTCTGTGAAAACCTGTCTGTGAAAACCTGTCTGTGTTGGCGTCTGTGTTGGCGTCTGTGTTGGCGTCTGTGATGGCGTCTGTGTTGGCGTCTGTGATGTCTGTTCGGCGTCTGTGGCGTCTGTGTTGGCGTCTGTGATCCTGTCTGTGTTGGCGTCTGTGATCCTGTCTGTGTTGGCGTCTGTGCTCCTGTCTGTGCTCCTGTCTGTGCTCCTGTCTGCGCTCCTGTCTGCGCTCCTGTCTGTGCTCCTGTCCGTGTGCGTCCTGTTTGTGCTGAACTCACTTTCCGAACAGTTTGGTGATTCCTTTGGACTTCTTGCGGCTCTCGGGGCTGGTGGGCAGAGTGTGGGTGCTGTCGCTGTTGGAGGATCTCTGGGGCATTCCCGCCAGGTCCAGGTGATCTGTGGTTTGACGCTCGGTTTCAGCTGAACAAAGACAAATCACACTTTTAATACTTTCAAAACTGAGACGATGAACGATTGGAGAGAAAAACTAGAGGAGTAAAAGTGCCACGTGCGAGAAGGAGACGTGCACATGCAGAATCCTGAAGGAGGATCCGAAACAAAACTGGACCTAAACAACGAGGAAACTGAAGCTGTTCAAGAAAAGAGAAGGTTTTAAATCTTATAAAAGGCATTTGTCTCATAGTGATGGACGAGACCAGAGATCTTTGTTTTGATCCAATACCAAATAATTCAGACGAGTTTTATATTACGAGGCTTTGAAACTTTACAGTTTTACAATCAAAACCTGGAAAAAAATAAAGTTTCAGACCTCGATTAGAACCTGCTTTAAGTTTTAGTTTCAAAAGATGATTTAGGAAGAAACTTGGAAGAAAAATTAGATGTTTTAGACGTTGCTCAAGCTGCATGAAGTTTCCTGGAATTTGACTAATTTTGCATCTTCAACTCACTTTTTATGGACTTTATGAACTTTCCAAGCAACTTTTATGCAAGTTTTAGTTTGTGTTTGCAGAAAAAAATGTTTTTATTTTTTTAATACCCCTTATTTATTTTCAAGTGTCTTGAGCAAACTCTAAAAATGAATTAATTTGCATAAAATTTGGACACAAAAATTTTGTCAGATATGGAACCAAATGCAGGGTTCTAAACTAAAGTATCTAAAAAAATAAAATGTTTAAGACCACCCTAATAGGGATCATTATTTTTGTTCCACCCTTCCTTTAACTAGCTGTTAGCATGCTAGTTGTTTTAACTCCAATTATGATTCTACAGCAGGAATGTGAGGAATAAGTTTGGACGGCAGCAAACAGTGAAGAATTAACAGTAAAAATCAAACCCGTCTAACAATTAACTCCACATTATGCAGATAATAATGTTATTTGTATTTTATTTTAATGTTTTAATCTTGTATTTTATTCTAGTGTGTTTAATATTTAATGTTAAACACACTCGGGTGTGTTAGAAAAGTGAGGAATAAGTCTGAAAAACAGTCGGGAAATGTCTGAAAAATGTTGTTTTTCATGAATTTTACTTCTCTAACATTTAAATATACAAGTGTGGATGAAGTATAATATAGTTGATGTTTTGTGAGTAAAATCCCTCGGTCGTTCAGGTAGAATTCAGGGCAAAAACAGAAATTCAATTTGTCATCTGGACAAAAGTTTTATTTGTTCAAAAACATTTCTCAGCTCGTCCAGTCTGCTGCTTCAGTTCTGGTCAGACGCTGGTGACACTTCCTTATATCTGTCTGCAGTGTTAGTTCCAGAGTAGTTTCAGTGTAGTTAGCTCCTCCCTTCAGGCAGATTTAAGGAAGTGTCACAAGTGTCTGACCAGAACTGAAGCAGTTGCCTGAATGAGCTGAGAAACATTTTCAACCAAATAAACTTTAGTCCAACTGACAGACTGAATTTCTCAGATGTTGCGTTTTAAAATATATTCCAACATTTGTGTGAAAAACGGTTCATTTGGTTCAATTTGAAGTGTGGATCTTTTCATGTTTGTTGTCGATTCGTCCATCACTAATTTATAAATGCATTCTGCTGTGAAACTTTGTGGTGAAAATAAAAGTAAATATGAAAAAAAAACATGCAAAGTACAAGCAAACCAACAGTTTACTACAAACTACTCACACGTACAGCAAACCCGTCACCATGGATTTTTAAAACTCCAAATATCACAAAAACTGACTCTTGTGAGGTTTGAGTCGTGTTCTAATGTTGTTCCCTCTTCAAAATCAGACCTGGAGTTGTGTTTTGTTTCATTTAAATGTTTGAGTAAATCTTTATTATTCGTCTGTTTACATCTCCAAAGCTCAAAATGCTCAGTTCCACCTTGTGATGTCATGAGCGGTAGTTTTCACATCAACAGTGTCATGGTGTTATTTTTTTTATCCTTAACTCGGTTTTATTTTGTAATTTCTCTAGCTGTGTGTTTTGACTTGAGTTTGTCTTAATCTGGGTGTCGTTCGTTCATTTGTTTTTCAAAATAAAACCAAAAAATAAGAAAACTAAAAAACAGTGATTTTCTTCATGATTTGTCTCCAAAATCAAAATGAAAAAACAGATAATGATTTGGTTTTTTTCAGTTTTTGATTTTGTGTTTAAATGAATAATGGAAAAAACTGAACCAAGACTAAACTAGGACTAAACCAGGACTAAACCAGAACTAAACCAGGACTAAACCAGGACTAAACTAGGACTAAACCAGGACTGAACCAAGACTAAACCAGGACTAAACCAGGACTAAACCAAGACTAAACCAGGACTAAACCAGGACTAAACCAGAATTAAACCAGGACTAAACCAGGACTGAACCAAGACTAAACAAGGAAAAACCAGGATTTAAACAGGACTAAACCAGGACTAAAACAGGGCTGATCCAGGACTAAACCAGGACTAAACCAGAACTAAACCAGAACTAAACCAGAACTAAACCAGGACTAAACCAGGACTAAATCAGAATTAAACCAGGACTGAACCAAGACTGAACCAAGACTAAACCAGGGCTGATCCAGGACTAAACCAGACTAAACCAGAACTAAACCAGAACTAAACCAGGACTAAACCAGGACTAAACCAGGACTAAACCAGAATTAAACCAGGACTGAACCAAGACTGAACCAAGACTAAACCAGGACTAAAACAGGGCTGATCCAGGACTAAACCAGGACTAAACCAGAACTAAACCAGGACTGATTCAGGACTGACTCAGGACTAAACCAGGACTAAACCAGAACTAAACCAGGACTAAACTAGGACTAAACCAGGACTAAACCAAGACTAAACCAGGACTAAACCAAGACTAAACCAGGACTAAACCAGGAGTGAACCAAGACTAAACAAGGAAAAAACAGGATTTAAACAGGACTAAACCAGGACTAAACCAGAACTAAACCAGAACTAAACCAGGACTAAACCAGGACTAAACCAGGACTGATTCAGGACTAAACCAGACTAAACCAGGACTAAACCAGGACTAAACCAGGACTAAACCAGGATTAAACCAGGACTAAACCAGGACTAAACCAGGACTGAACCAAGACTAAACCAAGACTAAACCAGGACTGAACCAGGACTGAACTAACACTATACCAGGATTGAATCAGGACTCAGACTTGGACTCAGACTTGGACTCAGACTTGGACTCAGACTTGGACTCAGACTTGGACTCAGACTTGGACTCAGACTTGGACTAAGACTTGGACTCAGACTTGGACTAAGACTGAATCAGACTAAGACTTGGGACTAAGACTTGGACTAAGACTTGGACTAAGACTTGGACTAAGACTTGGACTAAGACTTGGACTAAGACTTGGACTAAGACTTGGACTAAGACTTGGACTAAGACTTGGACTCTAGCTCCGTCCCTGGGAGAACCCCGAGCCCGTGGAGCAGTGTGTCTCAAAGCTCGATCGGGCGTCGGCTGCTCTTCATCTGCGTCGGTCCTTTCGCCCGCGGTCACCCGACGGTCTACACGGGCGCATCTCCGGCCCGTCCCGACACTCGGACCCGTAACGACGCCGTTTCACCTGCCGATATCGCCGTGCTTTTAGCGAATTTGTACGAAGAAAAACGAAAAACCCACCACTTCAATCCAGGTTAAAAATAAAAATGTTACTCACATTTGTACCGAGTAAAATGTTAGTTTTTTTTTTTTTTTTTGTAATGCCTTAAATTACTGCGTTACGAAACAAAACACAACTCCAGGTCTGTTTGTGACGAGAAAATAACTTAAAGAGCCAGAAAATGAAAAAATTACCTAAGATAAACAGATATAATGGCTCCAGTTTTCAAATATTGGAGGAATAAGTGAGTTTTGTGATCATGGTGACAGGCCGAGTCGCTCTAGAGCTCGGGAGTTTTTACAAAGACACAAATGCACGAACAGTGGAAGCGTGACGAAGCCGGGGGTTTGGGAAAAGGGACTACGGGGGCCTGCAGAACCTTACTGTACCTAGCTGAGGCGCACTGGCACTCCGACTGCGGTCTTCATGTGTTACAAAACGCACACAACACATCACAGGATCCAAGAGCAAAAGCACAACACAAACCACAAACACATGAATGAGGAAAAACACACGACAGCGGAAACACACGAGAGGAGGCGCCGTCCACGTCCACACACACGCACGAGTCGAGGAAAAGACCGGAGCTGCTGGGTTAAAAACGCTCAAAACTATCGGGTTATTCCTCGTCAAATCCCCCAAAGACCCGAGCCCGACCATCTCAGATCCGACTGAAAATAATTCTAGAAGTTTCACTCACTCTCCAACAGGAAAAGTCTCACATTTTAGCTCCCAACTCTTTATAGTTTTGTCATTAAAAAATATTTAGTTAAGTCTGACCTGACCTGTTCTGAGCAGAGTTTTCAGGAGACACGTTCAGATTGACGTATCCTCACCTTGGACTCACCTGGACTCGACTGAGACTCGACTGAGACTCGACTGAGACTCGATTGAGACTCGACTGAGACTAGGACTCCACTAGACCTCGACTTGGACTCAGACTTGGACTCCACTAGACCTCGACTTGGACTCGACTTGGACTCCACTAGACCTCGACTTGGACTCCACTAGACCTCGACTTGGATTCGACTGAGACTATGACTCCACGAGACCTCGACCTGGACTCGACTGAGACTAGGACTCCACTAGACCTCAACTTGGACCTCGACTTGGACTCCACTAGACCTCGACTTGGTGAGTTGTAGCTGATAGTAGGCTAGTCCAAGTCGAGTCCAAGGACTCGCCCAGGACTCGCCCAGGACTCGCCAGGACTCGCCCACGCCCAGGACTCGCCACGGACTCGCCCCGGACTCGCCACGGACTCGCCACGGACTCGCCACGGACTCGCCCAGGACTCGCCCAGGACTCGCCACGGACTCAACTGAGACTCGACTAATATTGACCAAGACTCGCCTAGGAGTCCACTAGGACTCGTCTAGGACTCGTCTAGGACTGGACTGGACTGGACTTGGACTGGACTTGGACTGGACTTGGACTGGACTTGGACTGGACTTGGACTGGACTTGGACTGGCCTAATATCAAGTAAGACTCACCGAGGACTCCACTAGGACTTGCCTTGGACTCGCCTTCGACTCGATTGAGACTTGCCTAATATCAGCTAAGACTCGACTTGGACTTGACTTGGACTCACCTAGGACTCGACTCAGACTCGACTCAGACTCGACTCAGACTGGACTGAAGGAGCACAGCCCTGCCCACATGCACCAAAAACAGCAGAGACCGAAACCGCGGAGCAGAAACAGACTCCCATAATTAAACCCGGGACCAGAGTTTATGCGGCTGAAAATTACGGAGTCGGGCCCAAAAGTTTTACCCATGGGTGCGGCAAAAGAAAATAAATGTGAGACAAAAAATATCTGTGACCAGCAGGGCGGCAGTCACGCCCACAAAACAGATCAACAAAACAAACAACAAAACAGAACAACAAAACAGACCAACAAAACAAACAACAAAACAGAACAACAAAACAAACAAAACAGAACAACAAAACAGAACAACAAAACAGTGATTATACCGGGACTAAACCTGGACTAAACCTGGACTAAACCTGGACTAAACCTGGACTAGACCAGGACTAGACCAGGACTAGACCTGGATATAAACCTGGAACTAAACCGGAACTAAACCTGGACTAAACCTGGATATAAACCTGGACTAAACCGGAACTAAACCTGGACTAAACCTGGATATAAACCTGGATATAAACCTGGATATAAACCTGGACTAAAACAGGACTAGACCAGGACTAAACCCCGGACTAAAACCAGGACTAAAATAAGGACTAAAACAAGGCTTAAACCTGGATATAAACCTGGACTAAACCTGGATATAAACCTGGATATAAACCTGGACTAAAACAGGACTAGACCAAGACTAAACCAGGACTAAAACCAGGACTAAAATAAGGACTAAAACAAGGACTAAACCTGGATATAAACCTAGACTAGACCAGGAATAAACTAGGACTAAAACCAGGACTAAAGGCAGGTCTAAACCAGGACTAAAACAAGACTAAAACAAGACTAAAACAGGACTAAAACAGGTCTAAAGAAGTGGTAAAACAGGACTAAACCAGGACCACTGTCTTAGTCTTCATTTGGTTTAATCCTGGTTTAGATCTGGCTTAGATTTGTCCTGATTTTGTCAAAGATTTATTACTAGTCTAGTCCTTGTTTAGACCTGGATTAATCCACATTTAGACCTGGTTTAGTCCACATTTAGACCTACACAGAACAAGATTTGACAAGATTTAGAGTCATTTTATATTAAGAGACTTTGGCTTCGAAACTAAGTTAAATAAAAATGAATATTAAAAGGTCCGATATTACAGAAGTTGTGAGCTTTAAGTCAAGTTATAATGTTGTTCCGTCGTCAAAAACAGACCTGGAGTTTTGTTTCATTCACATGTTTGAGTAAGTCTTTATTATTTCTCCAAAATGCTCCTTTTACATGTGTTTTTTTCAGTGGAAATTGGTCATTCCAGAGCTGAAATTATCCCAAAAACAAACTCTGGATCTGCTTTTTTATGAGGAAACAACATTATAACATCAGAAAATAGTGTAATATCGGCCTTTTAACTAAACCGTGAGTTCAAAAAGTACAATTTAATCTTGGTTTAGTCTTACACTGTCATTCGTTCATTCATTTTTCAAAATAAAACAAAAAATAAAACAAAAAAACAACAATTTTCTTCATTATTTGTCTCCAAAACCAAAATGAAAAAACAGATAATGATTGTTTTTCTCAGTTTTCGATTTTGTGTTTAAACGAATAATGGAAAAAATGGATAACGGACTGAACCAGGACTAAAACAAGTCTAAACCAGGACTGAACCAGGACTAAAACAAGTCTAAACCAGGACTGAACCAGGACTAAACCATTTTCAATCCCGGTCTCAGTCCCAGTATCAGTTCTTGCCCTGTTCCTGGCCTTGGTCCTGACCTCGGTACCGGCCTCGGTCCCATTTCAGTCCCGGTTTCAGTCCCGGTTTCAGTCCCGGTTTCAGTCCCGGTTTCAGTCCCGGTTTCAGTCCCGGTTTCAGTCCCGGTTCAGTCCCGGTTCAGTCCGGTTTCAGTCCCGGTTCAGGTCTTTATCCGTTTTTCCATTTTTCATGTAAACACAAAATTTAAAACTGAAAAAACAAATCATTATCTGTTTTTTCATTTTGATTTTGGAGACAAACAATGAAGAAAATGTTGCTTTTTTCATTTTCTTATTTTTGGTTTTATTTTGAAAAACGAATGAACGAACGACACACTGATTGACTGTAAATAAACATTGTGTAAAACCAAAACCGTCCGCTCTAAACTTTTCATCCTTTTCTATTGTTCTCGTAAAACAAACACAGTAAGAGTTTGGTCTCGTACCCAGGTTCGGGGTGCTTGAAGTCTTTTTGCCTCCTCGGATTTTGAAGAAGCCCTTCCCGAAAGAGGAGCGCGCCTTCCTGGAGCCGAAGGCGTCGTCGTCAGCGGAGGCGGCGGCGGCGGCGGGCGTGGCTCCTGACGGGGGCAGAGTGGCAGAGGGACCCAGCGGAGGTTTCTCACAGAGTTTATTTACCTCCCCATTTGTGTTCTGAAGAAAAAGACGACCACAACTTAGTCCAACTGCGCCTGAGGATTTCTACGCACAATAATGAACCCAACCTGAACTACAGATCGACAGATGTGTTGTTTTTTTTAAGCCTGATAGGGGTGTGAGAAAAAAATCGATTCAGTGATATATCGTGATACTTCATTGCACAAGTCTCGAATCGATTTAAAATGCAACCGAATCGATTTTTTTAAATAACATTTTTCACAAAAATTCACTATTTACATTCACTGTTCTGATGGGACAGAATTTTCAGTCCCACTCCCACAAAAAATGATCATTTTCAGTCTCGCCCCTGCCGAAATCTGCGATATTTTGTCCCGCTCGTGCCCACAAATCCCGCAAGATGTGGACGTCCCCAAACTAACCTGACCAAACCAAAAGATTAAAGGTTGTATGGAGGATTTTTTTTTTGTTTCAAACTGTCAGTGAAAGATTAAAATACCATTACAGAGACGCAGCAGCTTTGTTAATTATGATGACCAAAAAAAAAAAAAGAACAAAAATCTATCAACTGTGGATGTGTTGAGGCCAGATAAACATCAGCCAATAGAAAACGAGGCTCCCTCATTTTCTATTGGCTGTTAGGTTGTCAATCAAACTCCCTAGTGTAACTGACTCGTCGGAGCGCGGGGATTACGTGGTTTACGCAGCGGTTCTTAGAGGCTTTTTCGAACTGTCGCTTCCTCGCATTTCGCACAAAGTTTGTCGCGACGGCGGACGAGAATCCACGACCGGTTCGCCGCAAAAGAAAGTCCGTTTTTGAGGTCGTTGAAAGAAGAAGAGAAGAGGAAAAGGAGCAAAGCCAAACTGAGGTGATTCTTGGAGATCTCGTCCAGCGATGGCGCGACCGAAGCAGACGAAGGGTCTAAAAACTGACGCGTCGGTCGCTGAATTACTTCTAGACAGGAAACTTCAACAGTGATTCTGAATGCGCACAAAGACTGTCGCTGTATTTCTCTTCCCTTAAAAAAATCCTCTATACAACCTTTAAAAAAAACAGGAGAGCCGGTCCCACCAGGTCAGACACAAAAGGCTCACTGCAGCTCACAGGCGGGTCCAGCCCACAAAACATACACAGATAAAAATACACACAATCAGATGCACAAAGGAACACAGTAACACTAAAGAAGCATCGTCTCTGATTGGTTAATCTGCCTGTCAATCATAAGGCTGACAGAAGATATGATAGAAAGTCCAAATATGGGTCCATCTCAAAGTCAACACTACAAATCCAACAACACAACAGAACGTTTAGTGTCTAAATCAAGACTTGGAGAAACTTATCCATGCGTTTGTCTCCAGTAGGTTAGATACTGTAATGTTCTGCTCACTGGTCTCTCCAAACGAGCTGTGAGACGCTGCAGAACATCCAGAACATCCAGAACATCCACAACATCCAGAACATCCAGAACATCCACAACATCCACAACATCCACAACATCCACAACATCCACAACATAACATCCACAACATCCAACATCCACAACATCCACAACATCAACATCCAACATCCAGAACATCCAGAACATCCAGAACATCCAGAACATCCAGAACATCCAGAACATCCAGAACATCCAGCCACAACATCCACAACATCCACAACATCCAGCAACATCCACAACATCAACATCCAACATCCAGAACATCCAGAACATCCATCCAACATCCACAACATCCAACATCACAACATCCACAACATCCATCCAGAACATCCAGAACATCCAGAACATCCAGAACATCCAGAACATCCAGAACATCCAGAACATCCAGAACATCCACAACATCCACAACATCCACAGAACATCCAGAACATCCAGAACATCCAGAACGCTGCAGCTCGGGTCCTGACTCGAACTAGGAAGTACGAGCACATAAGTCCTGGTCTCAGGTCTCTGCTCTGGCTCCTGTGGCTCAGAGACTTTAAAGCGTCTCTGTTTGTACAAGTGTCTCCATGTCCGAGCACCAAGGTTCATCTCTGACATGTTTGTGTCCACATGAATCATCCGGGACTGACCTCCTGCTGGTGCCCAGAGTCACGACTAAACACGAGGAGTCAGAGTTTCAAGTTCACGCAGCTAAAACCTGGAACAGTCTGAACATGTGACACAGACTCTGACTCTGACTCAAAACGGTTCTGTTTCACTGTGCAAATGACTGAAAGGTTTTTATTCTGCACTCTTCTCTCTGATTTATGTAATTAATGTCTCTCTCTGTCTTTTTAATTTTAATCTTTAATTTTGTGATGATTATTTATGTTTTGATTTGTTTTTATTATGATTTTAATGTATTTCTTATTCTGTAAAGCACTTTGAATTACTTTGTGTACGAATTGTGCTGTACAAATAAACTTGCCAACGTGTTCACTCCCGCCTCCGTTAACACTGTGGGAGTAAAACAGAACAGATCTGAAAACACAGTCTCACCTTTTCATTATTGATCTTGTCCAGCTGCTCCTGACTGCTCCATTTTGTAGTTTCTTGGACGACGCTGAAAAAAAAAAAAAAAACACTCACTTTAAATCACAGTTTAGACTCTGTTGGTCTTTTACGGTCAGTGTTGGGGAGTAACAGATTACATGTACCGGAGTTAAGTAATCAGAGTACAAATGATGAGTAACTGTATTCAGTTACAGTTACTGTTTCAGTGAGTGGTAATTGGATTACAGTTACTTTGTTGAAATAAATGGATTACAAGGTGGTATTTTCCTGTTTTACATTTTGGACTAAACCAGGACTAAACCAGGACTAAAACCAGGACTAAACCAGGACTAAACCAGAACTAAAACCAGAACTAAAACCAGGACTAAACCAGGACTAAACCAGGAACTAAAACCAGGACTAAAACCAGGACTAAAATCAGGTCTAAAACGGGTCTAAATCAGGACTTAAACCGGGACTAAAACCGGGACTAAACTTGGACTAAACCAGGACCAAAATCATAATTAAAACCAGGTCAAAACTCAGGAATAACCAGGACTAAAACCAGGACTAAACCAGGATTAACCAGGACTAAACCAGGACTAAACCTGGACTAAACCTGGATTAAAACCAGGACTAAACCAGGACTAAACCAGGACTAAACCTGGACTAAAACCTGGACTAAAACCAGAACTAAACCAGGACTAAACCAGGACTAAACCTGGACTAAAACCAGGACTAAATCAGGACTAAATCAGGACTAAACCAGGACTAAAACCAGGAATAAACCAGGACTAAAACCAGGACTAAAACCAGGACTAAAACCAGAACTAAACCAGGACTAAACCTGGACTAAACCTGGACTAAAATCAGGACTAAACCAGGACTAAAACCAGGACTAAACCAGGACTAAACCAGGACTAAACCTGGACTAAAACCTGGACTAAAACCAGGACTAAAACCAGAACTAAACCTGGACTAAACTAACACAATATGACATTAACAGTAGTGTGGACATAATTGTGATTTCATATAAAAATCATTTTTCTATCAATAATACTTTTTTATCTGGTCAAGTAAAGACTGAACAAACAAGAATATCAGGATGTGGTTGTTACATTCATGTGATTTTAAAAAGCATGACAATATCAAGTAATCCAAAGTATTCAGATTACATTACTCACTTTAAGTAAATTAATGGATTCTGTTACAAACTACATTTTGGGGGATGTAATCTGTAATCTGTAGGGGATTACATTTTAAAAGTCACCTTCCCAACACTGTTTATGTGGCACGTGGTAAAAAGTTTATCTGAGGTTTTACGTGAGTCAAACATCGGCACAAAACAAAACAAGATTCTAAAATATAAGATGTTGAAATTTAAAACTAAAATATTCACATCAGCCTTTACAGTTGAGTAATAAAGTCACCTGTCTGCGTCCGTGGGCGTGGACTCAGACACCGGGTCGTTATCAGACGGACTCGGAGAAGGAGAAGACTCCACTCCAGTCCTGCTCACACTTTCCTGCAAAAAAAAAAAAAAAAATTAAATAAACAAATTAAAACAGCATTTGTACATTTGTTGATGTAGAAAAGTACAATCAAATATTCTGTAAAAGCAGCTGTTTGGCCTCTTGTCTCTGAAACTTGTTCATTTTTGATATTTGATTCTCTTGACAAATTCAGTTTTTATTGCTTTTTCCCACTGTTTTTTAGTAAAATCTGAACTGTTAAAAACTTTTCTGGGGACTGATGTTTTGAATTAGCTCAGACTACAAAAACTGAACAAATCTGATGCGAGTATCAGTTGTTAACCAAATAAACATTAAATAAATATGTTTTAAAGTCTCTACAAACCCTCTGCAGTGAATAATGAGGACACAGGGAACACGTTTGGAAAGTGAAATGTAATATTTTAAAGACAGTAGAATCAGATACAGTTTTTAACACATTAGCCCAGACATGTCAAGCTCAGGCCCGGGGGCCAAATTTGGCCTGTGATATAATTATATTTGGCCCGTGAGATCATATCAAATCTGTATTAGAGCTGCCCGCTGGACACAGATCAACTATAGAGATATTATTATTTAATTTAATTATTTTATTTATTTATTATGCTTGTTCTGGATTCAGTGTTTAACTATTACTAACCCTAACTATTGTTAAACATTTATTTTATTTATTCAACATTCATTTTAATAAGAAAAGATGTGTGAAAAATCCCTCAGTTGTCCAGGTAGAAACAAACAGAATTTCTCCTTTGCATTTAATAAGAAAAGGTTTAACATTACATCTGGAAAGAAGAGAAAATATGCAGATGTTGTTGACATTTTTCAATAAATATTTAGTTTGGCCCACGACTTAGGCCCAGTTTTTAATTTTGGCTTCTGTGAATTTGAGTTTGACTCTCCTGTACCTGACCTGTCTGTGCCGAAGCAGAGAAAAGCTGTCAAAATGTCCTGGACGTGTGTGTGTGACCGGCTCATGGACACACCATTCACACACTGACAGACACTTCTGTAGTAAACGTCTCCTCACCTGCTCTGGGTTCTTTGGTTCTTCAGACTCTTGTGGCTCTGGTTCCAAACCCGGAGGCTGAGAGGAGCACGGACCCACAGAACCATCAGCCAAACCCTCACCGTCCCTGGATTTGTCTAAAGAAGAAACAACAAAGACAAAAAATAAATTCACCAAACATTTAGTTTTATTATAAAGAATCATTTGTTTTTCAGAAGCCACTACAGTTGTACTAAAACATGCTTGAAATATTAAACTCTCTTGTGTCTGTATATTTGTACATGTCATTTCCATATTTTACTGTGTTTTGTTCTAAGATGTTAGAGAAAAAGAGGAATAAAAAACAAAACACTTCACCTTTCTTTCCTTGTACCGACATGACCATGTCCTGCACTTTCTTGTACCTCTGCAGAGACTGTTTCAGTTCTTCAATCTTACGATCCTGAAACAGAAAACACATGTTTGGTGAATATAATACAAATATTAACCACAGATTGTTTATATATGCACTACTACTGCGCATGTCTCCTGCAGAAAGAGCCTTTGTCTGTATCATGTCAGTCGATCGCACCGTTACTTCTGCACCACTGAACAATTTAACATTTAAACAAACTTATAAAGACAAAGACTGAGACGACTGAACACAAACGCCCCCAAAAACAAAATCAGATTCTGCAGATTTACAAACTGCAAATCTGCAGCTGAAAACGGAAATGGAGCAGCAGAAAGAAAGTTTGGAGTGAGAGAGAAACTCGTGACACCGGGAGGATGAACCATGAAACTTTCCTGAAGTGACTGGATGGATGGACAAAGTCTGGACTTCAGTGACACAGAAACCATCCTGTCGAGATTCAGAAAGACCCAATAATTCTAACTGGTCCCCGAAGGTTTAACCAGGTTTTGTATTCACCCTGTGACTGTCTGTGTGTCTGTCCACCCACAATAATTCTGCCATTTATGGACCAATTGTCACCAAATTTGGTACGTAGGTCAAAGCCCTCGTGCACGATGCCACAAAAAACAGTTTGATGAGGATCCGAGGTCATTTGAGGTCACACGGGTCAATTAAAAGGTCACGCCGTTATAAAGGATAAAGGCAATTTCTGAACCATCTGCAGCCTAAAATATTCACCCAATCATCACACAAATTGGCACATGTTACAGGTTGAAACTGGTCAAGGTCACCTGAAGGTCAAATATGTGTATTTTGGTCATAACTCTGAGAAGAATTGAGCTCGAGCAACGAGTGTCTCAAAATCTCAGAATAAATATGATCCATTTATAATTGCCTGCATTTGTATAGTCAAATATTAATAGTTTTCCAGTTCTTTTCTCTTTCAGTGTAGCCATTAAAATTCTAATTGGAACAAAAATAATTTCCATTTCTTGTTTTTTTGGTGAAGCACAACACACTGATCTACAGTCACACAACTAAAATACACACAACTCATGAAAAATGACATTTTGGTTACACACTAGTAAACACAGACCAATATAATAATTAGTATTTCTGTTTTAATGTAGCTGAGCCTGCAGGAAAATACAAGGAAATACTGGATAAACTTGTCAAACATCACATTTATTTAAGTAATTTCTCACCTTTTCTTCGTTTGCTGCCATCAACGATTCTACTGCTTTTTTCATCCTCTGCACTTCCACATCTACACAGAAGAACGACAACAATTAAAACGACAAAAAACTGTAACAGTCGTGAGAAAATCTGCGTTTAGTCGTCGCATTTTCACATAAACTGAGTTACAAACATGAGGTTGACGCTCAGCTCTGCCAGCGCGTCAGAGTAATGACAGGTGATGACGGCAGGTGGTGAGAGGAGCGGACAGTGGGGTTAGTGGCCACTGGCTCACGGGGACACGGGGGACGACGGGGACGACGGGGACACTGGGACTGGGACATTAGACAGACGACAGAGCAGCCTGAACAGATACGAACACAATCCACACAACTCAGGCCTTTTCACAACGCTTTCTCACGCATTCCTCTGGGCTAATCAGGAAACAAAACGCACACAGACGCACACAGACGCACACGGGGGCCGGCTTGGGGCCTGTCACCATAATCACTCCGTCCACTTATGGTCCAATGCACGGAATAACGTACAAAGTTTATGTAATGAGGAGGTTTTGTGCTGGATGTTGTCAAAATATGTAGATTTAATATTGGTGAAGGTCTCCACTGACACTTTTATTTTGAGCCTTTTCTTAAAATTATTTTTCATGAATGACGCCTCGGGACATTACGAGTCTTCTGCTTTTCAGCCATTTTAATATATATATACACTTTTATTTTGAAGTTTGTGCTTTATTTTGGTACTCCACACTAAGGCTGTGCAGAAATATTGAAATATCGATATATATATTATCATTTAATATGATGATACAGAATCGATATCATGTGCTGCTGTATCGATATATTGTAAGGAATATTTTTTGGCTTATTTTACTGAATTATTTTGTTACAGCTACAGTTTTGTTAAACTGTAAAGTGTCAAACTCAAATTCACAGAGGCCAAAATTTAAAACTGGGACTAAGTCGTGGAACAAACTAAATATTTATTGAAATATTTTAAAATTTCAACACCAGCTGCACGTTTTCTCTTCTTTCGAGATTTGTAATGTTAAACCTTTTCTTATTGAAATAAATGTTTAATAATAGTTTTGCTTAAACATTGAATCCAGTATAAGCAGAACATTATATGTTATTATATTGACACAATTTTAAATACATAATGTCTCTATAGTCTGTATCCAGCAGCTCTAATACAGATTTAATATGATCTCACGACCAAATATAATTATATCATGGACCAAATTTGGCCCCCAGGCCTGAGTTTGACATGTCTGATTTAATGTGATGATACAGTATCGATATCGAGGGCTGCTGTATCGATATAACACAGTATTTTTTTTTTGTATATTTTATTAAATTATTTTGTTACAACTACAGTTTTGTTGTTTGTTCAGAGGAACAGTTTTGACATTTTCACTCACCTTATGGTTTGGGTTTATAGTTTTTGAACATTCAAAACATCACTTTAGGTGATGAAAAAGTCATGGAGAAGTTTTGAAATGTTGACAGTGAAAAAGAGTGAGAACCCGGAGTAAAATCAAAAAAAGTAAGACGGACCCTCGGAGCGTTTTTGGTGACAGACCTGGTGACGCTGAGGTGGAGCCGACTCGGATTAAAACTTCAAACAGGTTAAAAAATGGACAAGCAGAGTTCAGAGGCTCATGCCCGTTCATGCAGACAGGGACTGAGGGCAGGTGCAGTCATGGACAGGTGCAGTCATGGACAGGTGCAGTCATGGACAGGTGCAGTCATGGACAGGTGCAAAGGTAAACACAAGCATAAACACCCTTACGTTTTTCCTTCAGCCTCTTTTTAAGAGTTTCGTCGGGGTGAAAAACTGAACAAGACAAATATATAAAGTATATTACACTGAACCTGTTTGGCTGGAAATGGAAAAATCACTCACACAACTTTATTTACACAAAAGAAAAACACATTATTAGAATCCAGGTTATTTTAGTGGCATCTATGCATCACGAATTTCACACTTCCGGTCATGCAATTCACACTGGGAAGGATTTTCTGAAAAAGTCAACATCAAACCTCCATGTTTGTTTTCCCAGTGGGATGTGTCTATTGTCAAAGTCGATCTTTTCTAGTCTTTTGAACCATATCACTTTTGTTTCTGGTTCTGATATTGTCATATTTTAGTTTTGGGATTCGGACGTCGTAATTGTGTGGTTGTTGGATCCTAACAGCGGAAAACGACTCGAGAAACGGGCTTCGGAAGTTTGCGAACTCATTAAATGCAAAAGTGAATCAGATGTGTGTGACTCAAACCTCTGTTCAAGCTGTTTCCCTTTACAACGGAATTGAAAAATAGTGAAAGGTGAAGGTGATGGGCAGGATTGATCCGCAGGAAGAACCAAAAAGGAAACATTTGACTGACTAAGAAATCATCCTGAGTTTACAGAGAACATTTTGTATGTGGAGCGACAACAAAACAAAATCCCGATCCCTCGCTCCACCTCGGTTATGAATTGAAAAAGTCAACACCAAAGTGAAAGACACCAACTGTTCACCAAGAAACACCTTCCACTGCAAAGAGACCAAGACGTGATGTTGCTGTAAAACCACAAGAACAAGAAAGTGCAGCTCAGTCTGTTTGTCTTCTGCTCCTCTACATTAACAAACGGGATTTTACTTAGATGTCGCTCCACATACAAAATGTTCTCTACAAACTCGGGATGATTTAGTCAGACAAATGTTTCCTTTTTGGTTCTTCCTGTGGATCAATCCTGCCCATCACCTTCACCTTTCACTATTTTTCAATTCCGTTGGGAAGAGAAACAGTTTGAACAGAGGTTTGAGTCACACACATCTGATTCACTTTTGCATTTATGGAGTTCACAAACAAATTTCTCGAACTGTTTTCCGCTGTTAGGATCAAACAACCACACAATTAACGATGTCCGAATCCCAAAACTAAAATATGACAATATCAGAACCAGAAACAAAAGTGATATGGTCCAAAAGACTTGAAAAGATCAACTTTGACAATAGACACATCCCACTGGGAAAACAAACATGGAGGTTTATAGTCCAATGAGATTCATTTGGTCTTCCAATATTCTATGTTATTAGGTTCTTTTTTTCAGACCTAGAGTGTTATTTCATACCTGACAGTTTCGACTGCTCACTAGCGTCTTGTTTCTGACCATTGCCAAAGAGAGAACCACGTTATGAATTGGGATGGAGCAAACATCATTGGGACAGAGGAAAACAAACATCGCCGCTGGATTAAAGAAGCAATCGAAATAAGGAAACGTGACCACAGGACTGTAAACCGGGACGAGGGGCTTTTTTACTCTCACACACCTGGGATGCTGTCCTGATGAAGTCGGACTGCAGGTGGCGCTGTCGTCCTGCCTCCACCGGTAGGAAGACAGCGCCAAAACCTGTTTAAATCAGCTGACTGGACACGTCACAGCAACATCACGTGACTCTGAGGAAGACGCTAGTGAACAGTCGAAACTGTCAGGTATGAAATAACACTCCTGGTCTGAAAAAAAGAACCTAATAACATAAAACATGGAGGTTTGATGCTCAGTTTTTCGGAAAATCCTTCCCAGTGTGAATTGAATGAAATGAAATTTGGGATGCACGTATTGTGACTTTGGAGCTGACGCCATCAACATTCCCTGGGGGTGTGACGCTAACTGTAAGCACTGCTCTGTCTGAGGCTTTGTTAAACTTTAATCTGAGTTTTATTTTAACACAATCTGACCAGAAAGAGCTGATTTATCTGGCAAGTAAAGTCTATTTGTATAGCACAGTTCATACACAAAGTAATTCAAAGTGCTTAACAGAATAAAAAAATACACTAAAATCATAATAAAAACAAATCAAAACATAAATAATCATCATAAAATTAAAAAGTGAGAGACACATTAGACAGAACTCCAACAGGTGTATCTGTGCTGTTAAACAAATCCAGATTTTCAGAATAAAAAAGTGGGACATTCTTGTTTTTGTGGAGGTTGATCATAATAAAATTGTGAATCGAGTAATTAAGGAAAACTGTTCTGCACTCGGTCCATTCATGACAAACATGAGTCAGTACAGTTACATTTTCTTTGTGTTTTGGTCGTTTTTAAGCAGCTTTTCTGTATTTTACCGAAACAAATGACAGTTTATGTTTCTATTTCCTGTTGGCAGATATAAAATTGGTCAATAATAGAGACACCTGGGACATTTCTTGTATAAAACTGGGTCAAATCAGTGGTTTTGTATAAATCTGCTGGGACGGGGGACACACGCTCAAAACTGGGACTGTCCTGGGGAAACAGGGACGTCTGGTCACTTTACCCTCACCTTTTTGTTGAAACTCCTCCTGACTTGCCCCAGTTTTGTTCAAGAAATGTCCCAGGTGTCCTTATTTTTGACCAGCTTTTTCAATACCAACAATAAAGAGAGACATAAACTGCCGTCTGTTTCGGTAAAATACAGAAAAGCTGCTTTAAAATGACCAAAACACAAAGAAAATCTGACTATACTGACTCACACGTTGGTCATGAATGGGCTTGTTTAACAGCTCAGATCAGCTCACCTTTTAGAGTCAAGATAAATCAGCTCTTTCCGGTCAGATTGTGTTAAAATAAAACTCAGATTAAAGTTTAACAAAGCCTCAGACAGAGCAGTGCTTACAGTTAACCTCACACGTCCAGGGAATGTTCTCAATAAATCATTTAACTGTCAACAATGAGATGCTCCTTTTTTATGAACCATAATAAAGGAGTGTAAAATGGAGTATTATTATTATTATATGCAGTTTTATTTTGCAGATGTGTGTGAATATAAACAGCTGGATTTGTAATATACTTGTTCTGTGCCTATTTAAAGGTTGTATAGAGGATTTTTTTTTAAAGGGAAGTGAAATACAGCGACAGTCCTTTTTCAAATGTTGTTCATGCGTGACACCACCTTCCTCCTCCACAGCTCCCTCAGCCTCTTTACTCTAGAAATCACGCTTGTTTACATCCAGTGCCTGTTCAGAATTACTGTTGAAGTTTCCTGTCTAGATATAATTTAGCGACCGACGCGTCAGTTTTTAGACCCTTCGTCCGCTTCATTCGCGCCGTCGCTGGAAGGAATCTCCAAGAATCACCTCAGTTTGTCTTCGCTCCTTTTCTCCTTCTCTTCTTCTTTCAGCGACCTCAAAAACGGACTTTCTTTTGCGCCGAACTGGTCGTGGATTCTCGTCCGCCGTCGCAACAAACTTTGTGCGAACTGCGAGGAAGCGACAGTTTAAAAAAGCCTCTAAAACCCGCCGCATAAACCACGTAATCCCCGCGCGCCGATGAGTCAGTTACATTAGAAACGTAGGGAGTGTGATTGACGACCTAACAGCCAATAGAAAATGAGGGAGCCTCGTTTTCTATTGGCTGATGTTTATCCGGCCTCAACACGTCCACAGTTGATAGATTTTCATTCTTTTTTTTTTTTTTGGTCATCATAATTACAAGGCTGTTGCATCTCTAATGGTGTTTTAAACTTTCATTGACAATTTGAAACTAAAAAAAAAAAAACATCCTCCATACAACCTTTAAGGCCTATTCATATTTCATAAGAACATAAAGAACTTTGATCTTGCACCCAAGGGCCGACTGACAAAATGACCCACATCTTTGCATTATTTTACTCTCTGCTTGGTTATTTATGTGTTCGTGGTTTATCCGTTTCCTCGTCGGTGCAGAACAAGAAAAAAAAAAGGATGGTTTTGAGTCACAGCTGAAAAGGAAACGGTGAGAAAATCCAAACATCTGTACGACACGACGCTCAGTGACGTGACGAAATAAACGCCGTAGAAAAGTCTGACGTAATCTCTGTGACAAGTTTGCGAAAGCCAAAAGGCAGATCACCAAAAAAAAAAACAAAAAAGCGGTCTCCTGTAGCGTCTGGACTCTTCAAACACAGAAACGTCCAACAACACGACTCCTGACAAGAACAATGTTGTGATGTTCTTATGAAATATGAAAAGGCCTTTTACTCATGTTTATGGCGACAGTGAATTATACCGAGCAGTTTGTCTTATTCATCACTTATCAGATGTGAAGAGGGTAAACTTTGACTGTGAGTCGTCGGATTTGAGCCACATTTGACCCACATTTGACCCATATGTGACTGACCTTTCTCCGTGTGCTCTCTGGAGCCCGGGTTCACCGTGTGGACGCCCGTCTCGTCCTGGAGCCTCCTCATCTCCACGTCTCTGCCCTCCAACTGTCTCCTCAGAACGGACAGATCCTCCTGAAAGAGACGGAGAGAGAGAGAAGAGAGAGAAAGAGAGAGAGGGAGAGAGGGGGGAAAAGGAGTAAGGGGAGGAGGGCGGAGGGAAAGAGAGAAAAAGACAGAGAGATACAGAGAGATGGAGAAAGAAAGATACAGAGAGAGAAGGATACAGAGGGGGAGAGAAGGAAGGGAGAAAGGGTGAGAGAGGGGGAAGGAGACAAAGAGAGAGAGAGAGAGAGAAGAAAGAGAGGAGTTGAGGCATGAAAAAATAAAAGAATAAAGGAAGGGAAAGAGAGGGAAAGAGGGAAGGAGGGAGGGGGAGAGAAGTGGGTAGAGGAATAAACAAGAGAGATAGTGAGAGAGAGAGGGAGTTAAAAGAGGGTGACAGAGAGGAGGAGGAGGAGGAGAAGGAGTTAGGGCGTAAAAAACAAAAGGAAAGGGCAAAGAAAGAGAGAAAGAGAAAGAGGGGAGAGAGAGAAGGAGAGGGGGAGGAAGAGAGAGAGAGAGGGAGAAAGAAGTAAAGAGAGAGGGGCAGAGTAAAAGAGATAGACAAAGAAATGGAGAGAACAAGAGAGAGAGAGACAGAGGGTCAGAGATACATAGAGGGAGAGAGGGAAAGAGAGAGAGGGAGAAGGAGAAAGAGAACAGGAGAGAGAGGGCAGAGGGGGTTGATAGGGAGAGAGAGAGAGGAGAGGAAGAGTAGGAATTGGGGCATGAAAAATAAAAGGAGGGGAAAGGAAGGGGAAGAGAGAGAGAGAGAGAGAGAGAGAGAGAACATCTGTGAGAACATTTCCTTCACATGGACACGCCAGCTCCTCCTCCTCCTCTCTTTTCTCTTTTCTCTGAACTACAAACAAACCACACAAAGAGAAACAGAGATGTTCCAGGTGGTGACGTGTCGGGGGCCTGAAGCTCACACCTGTGGAGAGGAGAGCAGGTGCAGACGCTCTGGAATGTTTGACACAAGAGAAAAAAAAGGAGCTCCCACAGCTGCGTTTGAGATGAACTCAGGAGATTCTGCAGGCGTCGGGTTTAAACAAAGATCAGATCAGATGAGACTTGTTCAGGCGAAGGTTTGTGTCGTAATACAGAGAGATCTGGAGTTTAGTCACTCGTGTTGGAGTCCAGACCAAGACCAGCCCGAGAACACAGAGTCCGACACCAGGACAAGACCAAGACCTCTGAGGGTCAAGACCGAGACAAGACTGAGACTTTTAAAGGTTGAGACCGAAACAAGACCAAGACTTTTAGAAGTCAAGGCTGGGACTGAGAGGTTTAAAGGCATAACAGAGACAAGACCAAGACAAGACCGAGTCCAAGCGCCTTCAAGACCGAGACAAGACCGAGTCCAAGCGCCTTCAAGACCTGAGACAAGACCGAGTCCAAACACCACAGAGACCGAGACAAGAGTCCAAACGCTCTCAAGTACAGATACTGGAGCAAAAAAATACTCAAGTAAAAGACTGACACAACAAACTCTACTTAAATAAAAGTATTAAAATACTTTAAAAATGCACTCAAAAGAGTAAAAAGTACGAGTATTTTGTGCAGATTTTGAGGTCTAAAGTTTTAAATGTAGTGTTTTTGATAAACTAAATCAATTTTTTTCTGGCGTTTTTTATTTTTTGTTTATTTGTTGTTATATTTTTCTTTGCTCAAACTACAAATGTGTCAAAAATAAAACTTCAGCCTAAAAAAATACTTTTACTTTTCAGACCTGTTCAAAAATGGAGTGGAGTAGAAAGTAGAAGTAGAAGTAGAAAGTATTTACACAAGTGTAAAGTTCTGTTTTATTTACTTCAGTTTAGTCACCAGACGAACGACGTGTTTTCGATAACAGAGTGAATTTTATCGCTTCAGTGTTTGGCGACGGTGAGAATAACACGATAAAACATTTCTTATCGGAATAATCACAACACAAAACTCTGATCCTGTGACAAAGTTGTTGAACGTCGACACACAGATTTTAAGAAATTTCTCACTGATTTTACAAAATAGATTTTTTCTGTATTTGCTAAAAAATAATCACATTACTTTAAAAAGTCCTGTCAAGATCAAGTTAAAATGTTGGTACCTCAAGTGTTGTAGTCAAGAGTGAACTAATCGAGACCAAGACCAGTCCAAGACCAGAGTCCCGAGACCAGGACGAGACCAAGACCTTTGAGGGTCGAGACTGAGACAAGACCGAGACTTTTAAAGGTTGAGACCGAAAAAAGGCCAAGACTTTTGAAAGTCGAGGCTTTTAAAGGCCAAGACCAAGACAAGACTGAGACTTTTAAAGGCCGAGACCGAGACAAGACTGAGACTTTTAAAGGTTGAGACCGAGACAAATGCGAGACTTTTAAAGGCTGAGACTGAGACAAGACCGAGACTTTTAAAGGCCGAGATCGAGACAAGACCGAGACTTTTAAAGACCGAGACAAGACCGAGACAAGACCGAGACAAGACCGAGACTTTTAAAGACTGAGACAAGACCGAGACTTTTAAAGACTGAGACAAGACCGAGACTTTTAAAGACTGAGACAAGACCGAGACTTTTAAAGACTGAGACAAGACCGAGACTTTTAAAGACTGAGACAAGACCGAGACTTTTCAAGGCTGAGACCGAGACAAACTGAGACTTTTAAAGGCTGAGACAAGACTGAGACTTTTAAAGACCGAGAAAAGACCGAGACTTTTAAAGACCGAGACAAGACCGAGACTTTTAAAGACCGAGACAAGACCGAGACTTTTAAAGACCGAGACAAGACCGAGACTTTTAAAGACCGAGACAAGACCTGAGACTTTTTAAAGACTGAGACAAGACGGAGACTTTTAAAGACTGAGACAAGACCGAGACTTTTAAAGAGACGACAGAGACCGAGACTTTTAAAGACCGAGACAAGACCGAGACTTTTAAAGACCGAGACAAGACCGAGACTTTTAAAGACCGAGACTTTTAAAGACTGAGACAAGACGGAGACTTTTAAAGACAGAGACAAGACTGAGACTTTTAAAGGTTGAGACAAGACCAAGTCCAAATGTGTTTGAGTCCAAGACGAGATCAAGACTGTAAAAAAGCGGTCTCGCGTTCGGTCTCGTTTCGGTCTCGCGTTCGGTCTCGCGTTCGGTCTCGCGTTCGGTCTCGCGTTCGGTCTCGCGTTCGGTCTCGCGTTCGGTCTCGCGTTCGGTCTCGCGTTCGGTCTCAAGTTCTGCGACACTTGTTCCCTCCTCAGAAACAGACCTGGACTCGTGTTTTGTTTCATTCACGTGTTTGAGTAACTCTTTATTATCAGTCTGTCTACATCTGCAAACCTCAAAACACTCTGCTCCACCTTGTGATGTCATGAAGTGGTATAATGGTTGTTCAGTAGAGATTGGCCACTCCAGGGCTGAAATGATCCAAATGATTCCAGTGAAGGTGTGTGGAGTTTACAAACACAATGAAGCACTTCCTGTAAGGTGGAACAGAGTTTTCAGTTTGAGAAAAGAACTCAGTCTCTATATTCTGCATAAATTTGTGTTAATCATGTGTGAATAAAACAAAACACATCTCCAGATTTGTCTGTGACGAGGAAACGACATCAGACCAGATCAGAAAAGCGTCCAACACGAGACCTTTAATACTTGATAAGAAAAAAGGAAAACTGACTCAAGCTGTTAATGTTTAAACAGGTCAGATATGAACACGCTTCATTACTTAGACAAATATTAACCTGTTATAAAACAAAACTGACCCATTATGACCTAGATTTGTGATTTTCCTTTTTTTAAAATTTTTTTAAGGTGACCCAGTGTAAATAATAATTACAAAAAAATATTTATTATTATTATTATTATTATTATTATTATGTTTTTCTCCAAACATGTCCATATATTATATATATATATATAGTTTTCTATCTCAGAGTATTTTATTTTACCTATAATTTCTTGACCTCCTTTTTATTCTTTTGAGTATTTATATTTCTTATGTCTTTCCTTCTTTTTTATAATCATATTCATTTATCACACTTAATATTATTGGTTTATTATTTTTATATTATATATTGTTTTATATGTTTTAATTTAAATTCCTAAGCATCATTTTGAGGGTGTAGAGGCAAAATAAAATATAAAATACAAGAGCAACATAAAACAAAACAAGTAAATAAAAAACAAAAAGTAAATAAATAAAACAAACATGAAAATAAAATCCAATCAAATAAAAATATGTAAAAATACCATTATTATCATTACTCTCATACACATTAGTAATAACGATACTACAACACTATTGTCATTAATCAATTACTATTCATAATAATAATTAGTACGATTATTATGAAACAGTTTTTACCAGTCAGGTCAAAACAGTGAATTTAAGTCTATTTAATTTAATGGACCTGATGTAAACAGTGCGTTGTTTTTCACGTGGAGACGACAGAAGAGACGTTTAGACTAAAGCGACAGTATTTGGGCAACAGTTTTGTTTTTACTATTTAAAGAGCTGACATCATCGCACATACCAGACCCAGAGAAAACCCGAACGAAGGAGGAGGAGGGAGGAAGGATTTGGAGAAAATAAAAACCAGGAGGCAGTTACAGAGAGAAGGTCAGAGCTGTAATCACAGACTGAACAGAGAAAGAGAAAGACACAGACGAGGAGCTGCAGTCTTGTACTGTTTGTATTGTCATTTTGAAGTCTGTTTTGGTCGTTTTTTTGAGAAAGTAGCAACATTATAACAGGACTAAAACAGGGGTGTCCAAACTTTTTTCATTAAGAGCCACACATCTAAACACAGATGAAGCAGAGGGACGATCGAGGGACATAGACTGATGCTCAGTACAGGGAATAATTAAAATATGTGCATGTTTAACAGGTTAGAATGAGCCATGAGTCTTTATTCACGCTAAGATCCTTAAAACCACACACTAAATATTAAATAGTAGCTTTATCAAGGTCGATTTTTGAAAAAACTTGCAGTAAAAAACTATTTTTCAATTGATGCAAGGTAATCTGGACCAATTCACCTGGAAGTCTGAGGGCCAAGGAAAATATGTCTAAGGGCCACATTTGTCCCCCGGGCCATAGTTTGGACATGCCTGGACTAAAAGCTCAAAAGAGTCAGTTTTGTGCAATATTGGACTTTAAAAATAATATTAAGTTAACTGAAGTGTTGTTGTTGTTTTGAGTGATGTAACATGGACGAGTAAAACATGAACTTCAATAAAAATTATATATCGGTTTTAATCATTGTTCATTGTTTTCTGGACTATAGAGACAAATTTGCAAAAAATATTGGACAGTTTGTAAAAGTGTCTTTACCTTATTCGACTTAAGTTTCTTCTCATATTGTAACTTTTCACTCTCCAGGTCTGTGATTCTGTACCGCAGCTCGTTGATCTCAAGAATCAAATCCTAAAAAAAAAAATAAAAAAAATGACATTACACAAGAAATAAAAAACACAAATAATATCAAAATTAAATCACTCAATATTTAAGGTCAAATATTACACAAAATGGACTTTTGTGAGTCAGGTTATAATCCTGTTAAATCCTCAAAAACAGACCTGGAATTGTGTTTTATTTTCACATGTTTGAGTAACTGTCCAAGGGTCAAAATGTTCTGTTCCAACTTGTGATGTCATGAAGAGGTAGTTCCTTTTTGACTTAGACAAACTTTACTGATCCACAAGGGAAATGATTTAACCTAATATTTATTATTATTTTACCTTATTTTGATTTATTATATTTTTACCTAAATTTTTTTATTATTATTTTGTCTTTAGTTCAGTAGAGACTGATAATTCCGGGCTGAAATCGTCCAAATGATTCTTGAGAACGTGTATGGAGTTTAAAAACATAGTGAAGCACTTCCTGTATCACCACATGACATCACAAAGTGGAGGGTTTTCTGTTTAAAAGAACTCAAAAAAGAAAAAAAAAAAAACACAACTTCAGGTCTGTTTGTGATGAAGAAACGACATTAGAACATTAAAGATCAGAAAATCGTGTAATATGAGACCCTTTATTGAAATAAATACAAAGTTTGTCTCTGGTATTCTTAAAAAAGATGGTGCATGTCTAAAAATCTGCAGACTAATTCCAAAAAAAAAAGAGTCAAAACTTTACCTGCTACAGACAGGAAGTGATTAAAAGTGGAGCAGCTGAAGTATAAGTGTTTTTTTTAATAATCGAAAAAGGGATGGTGAAAAGACTCAGTAAAGCCTCGTGTAAATACCTCACTGTCCCTGAACCTCTCGTCGAAGTCCAGCCGCTCCTTCTCGATGGAGTTTAACTTGAGTTTGAGGTTCGACACTTCAGAGATCAGCTCCAACTTCTGAGTCTCCAGAGTCGTTCTGCACAAAAGCTCCTGAAAACAAAACACGAGACGGGGTTTAGAGGACAGGCTCCTGAAAATCTGCTCTTTAAATACATTTTTGTGTGTTTTTTAGTTTTCAGACTGTCTAAAAACTTATCTGACTGCATTTGCTTGTGTCGTGTTGTGTCCCCATGGTAACTGCTGAACATTCTGCCATAGACATACATGTAGGTCGTGGTATATTTTCGTTTATTGGGGTGGAACGAGATACTTTCCACAAGTCGAAACACGAGACTGAATCAACGAGAATGAGATAAGACAGACTCAACCAGTATTAAAACAGGACTAAAAAAACAGGACTTATCCAAGACTAAACCGGTCTCAGTCCTGATCCCGGTCTGAGTCCCGGTCCGAGTCCCGGTCCGAGTCCCGGTCCGAGTCCCGGTCCGAGTCCCGGTCCGAGTCCCGGTCCGAGTCCCGGTCCGAGTCCCGGTCCGAGTCCCGGTCTCAGTCCCGGTCTCAGTCCCGGTCTCAGTCCCGGTCTCAGTCCCGGTCTCAGTCCCGGTCTCAGTCCCGGTCCCAGTCCCGGTCCCAGTCCCAGTCTGAGTCCCGATCACCCGACAGTCTACGTAGGTGCACCTCTGGACCCGTCCTGACACTCAGTCCTGGTTCAGTCCTGGTTTAATACTGAGACCAGGACCAGACCAAGACAAGATCAGGATTGAGACCAGGCTCGAGACCGGGACCAGACCAGGATTGAGACCAGTTCGGTCCTGGTTCGGTCCTGGTTCGGTCCTGGTTCGGTCCTGGTTCGGTCCTGGTTCGGTCCTGGTTCAGTCCTGGTTCAGTCCTGGTTCAGTCCTGGTTCAGTTCGGCATCACAATTTAAGTCACGTAAACGGGAATGTTCCGTTTTTTAAAAGTATTTTGCAGATGTTTTTATAAACTATTTAAAGAGGAAATGTAGTGATTTTGATCAAGAATTTACCTGAGTCAGAGGTGAGACTCAGGTTCAAAAGTGTCTGCATTAAACAGTAAACTGCATCCTTCATCATAATTATTTTTATGACGACAAATTTCAGTTTCGTCCCTTGTGTAGAAGAGACCGTCTGCTCAGGTGTGTTTAATTTTAATATTATTGATCAGTGAAATCTCTTCTCTTTTCGTTTCGTGGACCGACCTGCTGCAGCATTTCTTCTGTGGCGTTGAGTTTCTCTCGATGTTCCTCCAAACACAAATCCAGGTCTCGGATTTTTTCCCCCTGAGCTTCCACCTGGTCCGTCAACACACTGACCTGAAGTGAACAAAAACAAACTCAGACTCAGATTTAGACAAACTTTACTGATCCACGAGGGAAATGATTTGGACACAGGAGCTCAGACATCACAAGATAATAACAAAGAGAAACAATAGAAATGGTAAAAATAAATTATAAATAAATAGCAAAAGTAGCGAGAGACAAATGTAAATGTACAAGTAAAAAAAACATTTAAAAAATTATAGTACAAACATATCTCGTAGGGAGTATTATCTGTTACATAAAGGCAAATTGTAGGGATTATTATCTGTTCCATAAGGGTGAGTTGTTGTACTGTTGTAGGGAGTATTATCTGTTCCATAAGGGTGAGTTGTTGTACTGTTGTAGGGAGTATTATCTGTTCCATAAGGGTGAGTTGTTGTACTGTTGTAGGGAGTATTATCTGTTACCTAAAGGTGAGCTGTTGTACAATTGTAGGGAGTATTATATGTCACATAAAGGCAAATTGTAGGGATTATTATCTGATACATAAAGGTGAATTGTTGTACTGTTGTAGGGAGTATTATCTGTTACATAAGGGTGAATTGTACAGTTGTAGGGAGTATTATCTGTTACATAAGGGTGAGTTGTTGTACAGTTGTAGGGAGTATTATCTGTTACATAAGGGTGAGTTGTAGGGAGTATTATATTAATATAGTCCTGTATCTCTCTCTTTTTTATGAATTTTATGTCATTATTTAAAGTAGTAGTAGTAGTAGTAGTAGTAATAGTAGTAGTAGTAATAGTAGTAGTAGTAGTAGTGTCACATTTTGAAGTTTTATATTTTGCTGAAGTAAATATAGACAATAAAAAGTTACACAATGCACCTTTAAACAGACGAGAAATAAATGAAAAGGAGCAGAGAGAAAAGTCATCATGTGTATTTTCTGCTCCATTTTCCGGACATTTCTTTCACACTGACAGTTACTTTAAAATATTTCAATCACAAATATTAATCCGTTGAAAAAAAAAATGAACAAACGTAATTATTATTAGTTTTTCTTTTGTCCCGACCTGAAGCACCAGAGACTCCTTGTCGCTCTCCAGTCTGCCGAGTCGTTCCTGGTAGTGGTCTCCTGCGCTCAGGGAGATGTGTCCGTTAGACTGTGAAGAAAAACAACACACAAGAACTTGAACTGAGGACGAGCTCCAGAAAATAAAACACTGGAGCCGAGAATCACATCACGATACTCGATACACGTCTCACGATACGATATTATCACGATCAGGGACATTTTACATAATCGTGATAATCGAAAAATTACTCCTCCATGAGATTTTCTTCAAGATCATTTTTGTTTTCACTTTCACAAACAAAACACAACACTATAAAAGTTGTTTAAATATGGAAACGATTCATAATAAATTCTAATTATTCAAATCAATAATATTTTTTAACCGTCAGCAACTTTCATAATTATCGTGACATTATCGTGACATAATCGTTAATCGCAATTATCTTGGCCGTTATCATCGCAACACCAGAAAGGTTGCACATTCCAGCTTTAAAACAATAAATATGTCAAGTTATATTTTTTAAAGGGATGTAACAATAACCAAAATATTGTGATATCGTATCGTTAAAAGTCTCACAGTAATATCAAATCACAAGTTTCTTTGCTTAAATGCAGGTTTTATAGTAGCAACAGCTTATAAACATCGGGAACTACATTTCCCATGATTCATTTCAGCGCAGACAACATGAAGAAATATGTTTTTTACTTGAATTCTTGGGATTATGACGGAAATAATTCACACAAAAATCTTGTCAAGGTATTTTAAATGCAAAAAAGTGTCCTATCTACAATTATATCAGCCCTCTAAAATATCGCAATAAATATCGTACCATGAGAGCTGGATATCTTTACATCCTGAGTTTTTTATATATATATTTGTGTTTTTTTAATGTTTTTAATGTTTTTTTATTAACTTGCTTATGTATTTATTTTATTTTATGTGTTCATTTATATTGTGCAGCACTTTGGAGACTTTGTGTTGGTAAAATGTGCTGTACAAATAAAGTTGCATTTCATAATTATCGTGACATAATCGTTAATCACAATTATTTTGGTCATGAAAATTTCGATATCCGTCCTAAGCCCAATCGCAACATGGCGAAACCTGCGATAATCTAAATATTGCAACTAAATACCAGGGTATCGGATATCAGCGCCGATTCGGACTTAAAATAGCTGGATTGGATATCGGCTTCTAAATATCGATATCCTGGACATGTACATTGATGTAATAAGATAATTGCTACTAAAAGTGTCGATGTTTTAACTTTTATTTACACAAAGTTGTTGTGAAGTTACATGAGAAACGACAGCAACATAACACATTTGGATCACTTTTGTCTAATTTTATTCGTGTTTAAATTAAATAAATGCTGCTATCTCTGTCTCTGTTCTGGTATCAGTATCGGTATCGGAAGTGAAAAAGCTGGATCGGTTCATCTCTGCCAAATACATTTTAACAACAGTATTTTTTTGTTAAACTTACTTAAAAGTCAATGTGGAATAACCATTAAAGATGCACTGTGTAACATTTCTACTGGAGGGTCTCCGTGGAAACCGCTTTGTCCAGAATGTTCCACAGTATAGATTAAACCCGTCCATCGCAAGGATCTGTGGAGAGTCGCCTGTGTTCGCAGAAGCAATTATTGTGTTTTTGAACAACAGAAATAACAGAAAACTAATGAATAAATGGGATTGGATGTATTTAAAGTCATACTACGGAACATTCCAGCCAAAGCAATAACATCTCCATGGAGACGACTAGATACTGAACCCTCCAGCAGAAAAGTTGAGCAGTGCACCTTTAAAAAAAAACAATAAATATGTCAAGTTATATTTTTAATGGGGATTTTTAAATGTTTTTTTCACAGTTTTTATGTTTTTTCATGTTTTTTTATTCACTTGCTTATGTATTTATTTTATGCTTTATTTAATTTTATGTGTTAATTTATATTGTGCAGCACTTTAGAGACTTTGTGTTGGTAAAATGTGCTGTAAAAATAAAGTTGGATTGGAATTGGAATTGGCATAAACACTTTTCCTCTCTGAACAAACATAAAAATCGTTGCACTGTCACAAAATAATTCAATAAAGGCACCAAACACATAATAGCAGCGTACGATATCGATTCTGCATCACCAAATTTAGTGTCATTTTAGATATTTTGAGATTTGAGATTACACTGGCAAAAAATATTCTCCAGGAAACAAAACTGTGTTGGGAGTTTTGGATCAGAAATGTGCTGAAACTCGTCTGTGATGTTCTGGCCCAGGTTCAAGAATCACACACATTTGCATGGTTTGACTCTTAAATCCTGCAGGTTATTTGAAATTTTCTTTTATGATTTTCATTTTATGGAATCTAATTATCAGTCGTGACCATCTGCTCCATTTGCATCCAAAGAAAAAACACTGTTCAAACCCAAAGATCCTGTGTTTAGTTCATTAATTATCCACGATGCCAAGGCAGAAAGGTGACATTTTTATTTTGAATTTGAAACATTGAAAAAGTACACTTGAAATTTCAGTAAGTAAAATTCAGAATAGAAAGAAATTTGGAAATTGAATTTCTCAGCTTGAATTTTTTTTTCTTTTTTTTACCTGAATTTCTCAAATTGAATTTTTTTCTTATCTGAATTTCTCAACTTGAATTTCTCAACTTGAATTTTTTTCTTTTTTACCTGAATTTCTCAACTTGAATTTTTTTCTTATCTGAATTTCTCAACTTGAATTTTTTTTCTTTTTTACCTGAATTTCTCATATTGAATTTTGTCTGAAAAGTCCTGTAAAATCATACCCTGAATTTCCCAACTTGAATTTTTTTTCTTATCTCAATTTCCCAACTTGAATTTTTTTCTTATCTGAATTTCCCAACTTGAATTTTTTTCTTATCTGAATTTCTCAACTTGAATTTTTTTCTTATCTGAATTTCCCAACTTGAATTTTTTTCTTATCTGAATTTCTCAACTTGAATTTCTCAACTTGAATTTCTCAACTTGAATTTCTCAACTTGAATTTCTCAACTTGAATTTTTTTTTTTACCAGAATTTCTCATATTGAATTTTGTCTAAAAAGTCATGTAAAATCACACCCACCTATCACATGTTCCTGCTTGTTGTTTTTTTTATTCAAATTATTTCATTCATCGTGCAATATTCAAATTCAAAACTTCTGGCACATCTGTACTTCCGTAGAAAACTGCACAAACAGGCCCGTACATGGCCGTGCCCCGAGCCCCGAGCCGCAGCATTACACCGAGCGCCTGGCATTTCTCTGGCATCCGTCCCATCACTGTTTCATTCACAAAAACTGCATTTAGCGGCGGCGTCGGGGGCACAGTGGAGCTTATGTGGCGTTTTTTATGAGCGACACAAACAGGCAGGCGGAGGCAGAGAGAGCTCCAAACAGAATCTAAACCAGATGTGCGGAGGGGAATCGGCGGACGAGCGAATCGAGACGCTGACGACGACAGATTCACAAATAGAAAAGATGACGCAGTGTTCTGTTTACAAATGTACAAAAACATCTGAGATCAAATAGACGTTGTGGATGAAACTTAAAAAAAAGACTTCGTAAAACTACAAGATGCGAGACGATCGATTGACGCTTTGCACTGACGTCACGCTGGGGGTGTTGTGTATGTATATCTATGGGTTTAGAAGTTTCCATGGTGACACAAAGCACACATGAGAAAATACTGCCAGAAAAGTTTTAAAGATCTGTGTGGAGTAAAGTGAGCAGACGTCGATTTACACGGGACAGTCTCAGTTTTGAGCCTGTGTCCCCCTGTCCCAGCAGATTTATACAAAAAAAAAAAACACAGATTTGTCCCAGATTTTTACGAGAAATGTCCCGGGTGTCTCCATTTTTGACCAATCTGATCCCAAATTATCATTTGTTTCAGTAAAATACAGAAAAGCTGCTTAAAAATGACCAAAACACAAAGCAAATGTGACCATACTGACTCATATTCGACATTAGGGGTGTGTGAACTTCATGGTAAGATATTTTTAATTGTATTTATTTTTATTAAGGACATCACAATCACATTAGACAAGCCAGATGTTTTGCTTTCAGTGTTTTAGTTTTCAACACCTGTCCATATAAAAATATAAACTCTGTGCATAAAAACAGAGAATACAAGACACATAAGTTACATACAGATAAAATATATACAGTACATTTTCAGTGGATGCATTTTTGATTGGAAACATACATAAATTCAGATTTTCTTTTATATTTGTTGTTATTGGTTTCCAATTTTAATTCAGCTGGTAAACCGTTCCACAGACTGGCCCCTTTAAAAGAGAAAGACACTGACCAAGAGTCGTCCTGTACCTAAGAACAACACAGTCACCACTAGTAGCTCCTCTTGTGTTCGCTCTGTGTCAACAGTTTATGGTCCTGGCAAATTCTGAGTACAGTTGTGTATCACAGTTAAGACACTTAAAAAATAATTTAAGATGATTAAAATTGATAAAATTTTCAAAGTTAAAAAGTTGATGTTTCTTTAAAATTTCACAGTGGTGCCAGTGTTTGGGCTTTTTGTTAAGCACCTTCAGGGTCAGTTTGTATAATGATTTTATATGTAATGATTTATATATATATTTATTGTGATACCATGGGAAAGCTCATGATATTACGATATTCTACATAATAACAAGACTGACATGACAAAATGCTTTAAGCGTCATTTGGTAAAACATTTATTGTCATGTTCATATCAGTGACATTTTGAACAGACTGAAAAGACTTTGAAGCTGAAGTGCAAATAAACAAGACATGACAAACATGTGAGTCAGTATAATCACATTTTCTTCGTGTTTTGGTCATTTTTAAGCAGCTTTTCTGTATTTTAATGGCCTAATTCATCAGCCAGTTTCACTTGGTGTAAACCGTGTGACCTCGCAGCATTAGGATTCGTTCACTCGACGGGAGGCGGGGACTTTTTTTATTTAACCAATCGCTGCTGTTTGGTCGTGACGTATGTAATGCTCCAAATCCCGTAGGAAGAAGAACAATAACGTCTTTCCCCGAGACAAAATTCACCAAACATTGTCTTTGTTCCGGCTTTAAATCCTCGATCTCAGGAATCGTTGCCAACACAGAATGTCTGTCTTCGTCTACATCCATCTCAACTGCTTTGTTTATTGGTCGGTGTGCGGTTTACAGCTTCCAGGGTTCTTGTAAACCATCTAGTGTTTTCTGATTCCTGACCTAGTCACTGGAGAGAAATGAAATTGAGTGGAGGCACTAGGTGGCGCCAGCCTGACTTTTACTTTACCTAAACAAATGTCAATGTGCTTTTCTCTTTACTGTTGACAGATGTAAAATTGGTCAAAAAAGTGACACCTGGGACATTTCTTGTCTAAAACTGGGTCAAATCAGTGGTTTTGTATAAATCTGCTGGGACAGGGGACACAAGCTCAAAACTGGGACTGTCCCGGGTCAACAGGGACGTCTGGACACTCTAGACCAGGGGTGGGAAAACTACGTGCGGCTCTTTAATCTTTTCAATCCGGCCCGCCGAACTTGAATAAATAAAAATAATGATAATAATAGAAAGACCTCATTAATGTTTTATTTTCCCTGCAATTCTGGTGTTTACCAATAGATGGCGCACTTTAGATACAGTCACCTTTGTTGAGGTGCGGCGCATTATGCTGCATTCAGATTACGCTGTATTGACACCTCAACCCTTCTGTAAAGAGGAGTGGAGTTGTTTTATGAGGTGGATTACCAAAAAACTCCATCCATTTGCTCCTGGTCCGGCCCTTCCATCAAATTCTAGAACCTTTTGTGGCCCACGAGTCAAACAGTTCAGCCGCCCCTGCCCTAGACAAAAGGTCCCTGGATCTCACCATGTGCCCCTGCAGCCACTCCACCAGACTGTCCGCCGTGGAGTCTGGGATCTGGCACCTCAGACTCTCCCTCTCCTCCACCTCCATCAGCTCCAGGACGTTCCTCAGGTCCTCCAGGAGGTGCAGGGCGCGCAGGCTGCCCATGAACGGGGAGGTGGGCGACTGACAGTCAAAGATCCCGTTGGAGTAATCCAGAGCCTTGGAACCTGCAGGAAAACAAAACAACCACGTTCAGATTATGGTTCTTAGAGGTTCTTTAAAAGGTGCACTGTGTAACTTTTCTGGTGGAGGGTCCATCACCTGCTTGTTTTTATGGATATTTCATTGCTCTGCCTGGAATGTTCCACACTGTGACATTAAACAGCTCTACTTTTATTCAATTTATTCAATTACAGGTGTTTTTAGAGCTCAAAAATACCTAAAAAAACAGACATTCTGACTGTGATTGGGGTCGCCTCTCCACAGATCTGGCCTGTAAAATCCGTGTATCATTCGTTCATTCATTTTTCCAATATAAAACCAAAAATAAAATGAAAAAACAACAGTTTTCATGTCATGGTCTCGGTCTGGTCCCGGTCTCAGTCCCAGTCTCATTTTCGGTCTGGTCCCGGTCTCAGTCGTGGTCTCAGTTTCGTTCTGGTCCCGGTCTCAGTCCCAGTCTCATTTTCGGTCTGGTCCCGGTGTCAGCCCTGGTCTCAGTCTCGGTCTGGTCCTGGTCTCAGTCTCGGTCTGGTCCTGGTCTCAGTCGTGGTCTCAGTTTCGATCTGGTTCTGGTCCCGGTCTCAGTCCCAGTCTCATTTTCGGTCTGGTCCCGGTCTCAGTCCTGTTCTCAGTCTCGGTCTCAGTCTGGTCCCGCTCTGGTCCCGGACTTGGATCAGTCCTGGTTCAGTCCGTATGCGGAGCAAAAGTCCGAAGTCACTTTTCATTTAAACACAAAATCGAAAACTGAAAAAAACGAATCATTATCTGTTTTTTCATTTTGGTTTTGGAGACAAATAATGAAGAAAACTGTTGGTTTTTTTTTTTTTTTTCTTATTTTTGGTTTTATATTGAAAAATGAATGAACGAATGACAGACGGATTCTGTTCTTCTGTCTGGTTTGGTCTCCGTGGAGACAGAAAGGTTTAAAGCCACACTGTGAAAGATTCCAGACAATCTCCATGAAGAAAAGCATCTGACGGAGCCTCCACCAGAAAAGTTAAGCTACAAACTTTATTTTTACTTTTTTCATTTTACATTTTGTTCTTCGTTACCTGCAATATTGATTTGATTTAAAAAATGGTTTAATAATAGAAAGAGGTGATGATAATAATCGGTTTTACACAGAGCTTTTCACAGTAACAAAGAGACACTTCACAGAAAAGTCAGACCAAAACAAGGACAGGACAGACAAAACAGTAACGAGGAGCGGTCGTGTGTGGGCGGTGTAGACTCTGAGGAAAAGGTGAGTTTGAGTAATGTTTTGAAGGTGTTTGGTGAGTTTGAGTTTCTGATGTGAAGGAGGAGAGAAAGTTCCAGAGGGCGGAGGCGGACGTGAAAGGGCTCGGTCTCCCAAAGGTCCAGTGCTTTGGTTTGTCTGTGGGAGTAAAGGGTGAAGTATAGTTCTGTGTCGCGCACCGCCGCCATCGTTTTTGATTTATGCATCTGCATCGAGGTCTGTGCACCGCGAAGTAATTCACCGCCAAAACGCTAGGGGGCGACGATATCTGTCCATACATATATACAGTCTATGTGGGACCTGCAGACGTGTAATGTCTGAAAAGTTTAACATGAACCATCTCTAATGCGATAGACGCACAGAACAGACTCACCATTAGTACAACACCCCTCTGTCACAGAAAAACACTCATGTTCCACTGAGTCGTGTCCTTTTTAAGTCCAACAGAAACTGAACCACATCAGGACACAAGGAGTGAGCTGTTTTTTTGAGGCTTAGTTTATGCAAATGAGTCATGCGGTTTTAAGTTTCATTTCTGTAAAATGTAAACACACTTGCGCTAGGGATGGGCATGATTAGTCGATTAATCGATAATTGATCATTAAGAATTTCATCGATTACGTTCATTTTAATGGACAAACTGAATGTATGTTTGTGTGTGTCGTGACCAAACAGGTGTGTACATGTGTCTCTGCATCAGAAGGAGCGAGACACAAACAGTGGGTCAGTCTGTAACGAACCGAAGCACAAATGTGGATTTAACCAGGATTTGTACAAGAAATTCCACACTTTCCGTTGCGTTGGGACAAGTGTGAGTCCATGTGCACAGTGGATAAAGCAGCACATATGTTTCTGTGTCCAGTGGGAAAAGGTTTTTCCAGGTGAGAGTCGCTCAATGTGGATGACGAGGCCCCGCCCCCCTCCCCCCGTACGCTGTCCTGGTTTTGACAAACACAAATCTGGTCACACTGACCTGTATTCACCTGAGTCATGTCTTTTAATCCAACACAAATTGAACCACATCAGCGACACAAGAGCTGGAGTTTTATCTTCACTTAGTTTATGTAAATTAGTGATGTGGTTTTAAGTTTTGTTTCTGTGAGATTTGAACAAAACTGAATTAAACACATTATAATGTCAAACGGGCTGATTTTGGCTCTAGAGTCGTTACAGTTTATATGTCGTAAAGTTGAATTTATTTATGCAGATTAGTGCAGATAGTAATAATAATGATGATCATTTTAATATAAAAACATTAATTAATCGATCGTTAATTCTCCCAACGATCGATTAAGAAAATTTCATCGAATGCCCGTCCCTAATATGCGCAAAGCTTCATTAAACACATTATTACTCAATATGTACTGAAAAAGAAAAGCCGAGTACAGGAAATGTTTGTAGTGCAGTGGTAGAAAAGACCAATCACAGCTCTTGTCGTCTGCGTCGCCTCTTCTGTCGTCTGCGTCATTTTGATGCGTAGTTAGAACATTTCGGAGGTGCATGAGCGCACTCTGTGTAGGGGGTACGTGTCGATGCAGACTCTCCGCATTGTGACGCAGACGATTTGACGCTGGACCGTAAACTGGCCTTAAGAACATTTGAGTCGGCTGATGAGGTCTGCGAGGTTATGGATGGACCTGGTTGTGGAGGGATCTCGTTTAGGGCTGTCGCGGTTTGGGAATTTCTCCTGTGGTGCAGTATATCGGCTCAACAGCGCGATATGTGATCACACCGGGTCGGCTCAGAGTCCTGCACCGGGTCGGCTCAGAGTCCTGCACCGGGGTCCGCTCAGAGTCCTGCACCGGGGTCCGCTCAGAGTCCTGCACCGGGGTCCGCTCAGAGTCCTGCACCGGGGTCCGCTCAGAGTCCTGCACCGGGTCGGCTCAGAGTCCTGCACCGGGTCGGCTCAGAGTCCTGCACCGGGTCGGCTCAGAGTCCTGCAGCAGCCCCGGTCAGAGTCCTGCACCAGGTCGGGTACCCGCGGACTTAAGAGAGAGAACCCCGAGCATGAACACGCGGAGCAGGTGTCATGCAGAGCTTTGCACCGGTTCTCTCACCTGCGATCATCAGACGGTCTACACGGGTGCACCTTAGTCCTGGTTTAGTCCTGGTTTAGTCCTGGTTTAGTCCTGGTTTAGTCCTGGTTTAGTCCTGGTTTAGTCAGAGTTTAGTCAGAGTTTATTGCTGGTTTAGTCCTAGTTTAGTCCTGGTTTAGTCCTGGTTAGTCCTGGTTTAGTCCTGGCTTAGTCCTGGCTTAGTCCTGGCTTAGTCCTGGCTTAGTCCTGGCTTAGTCCTGGCTTAGTCCTGGCTTAGTCCTGGCTTAGTCCTGGTTTAGTCCTGGTTTAGTTTAGTCCTGGTTTAGTCCTGGTTTAGTCCTAGTTTAGTCCTGGTTTAGTCCTGGTTTAAGTCCTGCTTTAGTCCTGCTTTAGTCCTGCTTTAGTCCTGCTTTAGTCCTGGTTTAGTCCTGGTTTAGTCCTGGGTTAGTCCTGGGTTAGTCCTGGGTTAGTCCTGGTTTAGTCCTGGTTTAGTCCTGGTTTATCACGGGTGTTAACAGGTGTAATGTTAACTGGTCCGTGCGGGTGTGAGTCTCTAAAAATGGACCCGTGCAGGACTCTGGGTCGGGTCACGTCGGTCTCGTGCGGTGGACGTCTTAGTACCGCGCTGATTCATTTTCGTGGTTATTGCGACAGCCCAAGCCTCGTCATGGAGACACATGGTTATGGAGGAACTGTCAGGCCAACAAACTCCGAAGCACGAGATGTTGCTACAGATACAGAACAATATTACTGGAACTTTTTTATGCCCCAACACAAAAACAATAAAGCAGGAGAATCCCAGGGAACCTTTTTAATTAGACAATCTGATTAAAAAGCCTGAGCTCCAACAAACAAACAGCAGAATTAACTCTTATTAACTTTAATTAGTCACAGAAGTCAGTTTTTCTATCCTTAACATCGCTCAGATCTTACTTATCCATCAACTTCCTGTTTTTACCTCTTCACACTGGCATTTTTCATGTTTAAATTTGACATTTATATATATTTTTAAATGGTTTCCACAAAAAGCTTTGGTTTCTTTAACATTGTTATTATGACCGTTGCTTTCTCCAGTCGTCATTTACAGTATAACCTCACCTACACTGGTCGAGCTCCGGCGGCACGTTAAGAGTAAAATATGTAGAACGTGTAATTCAGAGCATTTTGTTCTTGTCTCGTTTCTACTTTAGTCAGAAATAAAGTGTTGGGGAAAACCATAAAAACCCAGAGGGAAATCACTCAAGACGGGGCTTGTTTTAAAGCTGCTATGTTACATAAAAATGCGCTTTAAGTCATGTTCTAATGTGTGCGGCTCATTCCACTCACTCACTCGCTCTTTCCCAAACTGGACTTTCTCCTCTGGACATTCGGGCCGTGACATTTGTACACAAACGTATAAAGAACATTTACATTTGTACGCACTTTCTGAACTTATCGGGTGTGGATTTTTAGTCACATTTGTAAGCACTTGTCGAACTTATCAACTGAACTGTGATATTTTAAAGCGTTTCACCTAATGGATCATAAAACTGCTCAGAATTCCTTGTTTTAGGACATTGGCCCGAACGTCCCCCGGGCTCGAAAGTCCCAGATTCGAGTTTCCAGCTGATTTCAGTTTTAAATCCATCACCAAAAAAACTAAACAAAAAAAAAAAAAAACACTACAGGGAGTGCCTTAATAATAAATGTGGTATGAAGAGCCTGGTACTTTGGGAACATTTCCATATGAAGAGTCAATGGCCCGTTACCAGTTGACAAAATAGTTATTTAAACTGAATAAATTAAAAATTACAAAAGTTTAAGATGGCCAAATAATTCTTTATGTCTCCGCAGGGGTTTGTCTGAGAACATGTAATTACAATAACAAAAACAAAAAAAAGTTTCATTTTATATAGAGGTTTTATAGGCGGAATTTATCATTTAAACTCTAATATTTTAAAGTTCAGTAAAGTTGTATTGGATATTTTGAATGGCCACTCATATTGTTAATTGTTAGTTAATTGTCTTAATATAATATGATTAAATTCATATAAAAATTGTGCGCTGTCCCTGTCTCAAATAAAATTCCATTTACCGTATTTTTCAGACGATAAGTGGCACTTTTTTTCATGGTTTGGATGTTTCCTGTGACTTATTCTCCGGTGTGACTTCTATATTAAAATGTTTGAGTGAAGTGTGGAGAGGTTCTAGTCTTGTGTGTGAGTATCTGCTGCTCCTGTTCCTCCTGCACCACTGTCACTTGGCTCTACTGCGCATGTCTCCTGCAGAAAGAGCCTCTGTCCTGTCTGTATCATGTCAGTCGATCGCACCGTTACTTCTGCACCACTCAACAATTTAACATTTAAACAAACTTATAAAGACAAAGACTGAGACGACTGAAGCTGCAAGTCGTGAAATCTGCAGCTGAAAACGGAAATGGAGCAGCAGAAAGAAAGTTTGGAGTGAGAGAGAAACTTGTGACACCGGGAGGATGTCATGGTTTATGTTTTGTAGTGGTTGTAGTTTGTGTTTTATTTTGACATTTGTCCTGTCACCTTGTATTTTTGAGTGTTACTTCCTGTCTTGATTGTTTGCCCCGCCCTAATGTGTTTCACCTGTGTCTGTGTGTGTGCATTTATACCCTGTGTTCTCCTCTGCCCTTTGTTGGTCCATTGTCTCTGTCCGAGTGTCTCTGTGTCTCTTGTCATGGCAATTTAGTCTTGAGTTTTGGATTTTTTGATTTGTCATTAAATATTTTTGAAGCAGTCCTGTGTTTTGGGTCCTCCCTCTGTTTCCACGTGACAGAGGATGAACCATGAAACTTTCCTGAAGTCACTGGACGGACGGACAAAGCCTGGACTTCAGTGACACCGAAACCATCCTGTCGGGATTCAGAAAGACCGGAATAATTCTAACCCATAACATGCTACAGGCCTCCAGGAAGAACAGTTGACAGTTAAGGTCAATTAAACACAATCAATCAATGAACCTGCCCAGGGACGACAGGTGGAAATGAGCACTGATGCTACAACCTGGTACAAACATCTCTCCTGTTACGGTTAATGTAAAAATTGCGCGCTGTCCCTGTCTCAAGTAAATAAATAAATAAAATAAATAAATAAACTGGAACGGATGCCGAGTCCGACTCCGTTTACCTCCGGAGGTCGAGGCCGAGTTGTTCAGAAGTGACACCGAGGATGAAGAATTGAATGGATTTAGTGATTTGGAGTGAGATGGAGAGTTTGTTCAACTTGTTCTGTTCTGTTGTTTAAGTTATAGTTTATCTGAAGAACTGTTCATATGTGACGTTAACAGTCTGTTGTTCTCTCTTCTATTATTTTTACTACAACTTGACTTTACACAGGAAATGTCGGCTCCTGGTCTCTGAATTTACAAAACACATTTCCCCCAAAAAAGTGCATCCATCCATCCATCCATTTTCGTCCGCTTATCCGGGGCCGGGTCGCGGGGGGAGCAGCCTAAGCAGGGACTCCCAGACTTCCTTCACCCCAGACACGTCCTCCAGCTCCTCCAGGGGGACCCCGAGGCGTTCCCAGACCAGCCGAGAGACATAGTCCCTCCAGCGTGTCCTGGGTCTTCCCCGGGGCCTCCTCCCGGCGGGACATGTCCGGAACACCTCCCGAGGGAGGCGCCCAGGAGGCATCCGGAACAGATGCCTGAGCCTCAACTGGCTCCTCTCGACGTGGAGGAGCAGCGGCTCTACTCCGAGCTCCTCCCGTGTGACTGAGCTCCTCACCCTATCTCTAAGGGAGACGCCCAGCCACCCTGCGGAGGAAACTCATTTCGAGCGCTTGTATCTGTGATCTCGTCCTTTCAGTCATTACCCAGAGCTCATGACCATAGGTGAGAGTAGGAACGAAGACTGACCGGTAAATCGAGAGCTTCGCCTTTCGACTCAGCTCCTCTTCACCACAACGGTCCGATACAGCGACCGCATCACTGCCGAAGCTGCACCGATCCGCCTGTCAATCTCACGTTCCGTCCTTCCCTCACTCGTGAACAAGACCCCGAGATACTTGAACTCCTCCACTTGAGGCAAAGACTCCCCACCCACCCGGAGAGGGCAAGCCACCTTTTTCCGGTCGAGAACCATGGCCTCGGACTTGGAAGAGCTGATCCTCATCCCAGCCGCTTCACACTCGGCTGCAAACCGCCCCAGTGCACATTGCAGGTCCTGGTTCAATGAAGCCAACAGGACAACATCGTCCGCAAACAGCAGAGATGAAATCCTGTGGTCCCCAAACCGGACCCCCTCCGGCCCCTGACTGCGCCTAGAAATTCTGTCCATAAATACAATGAACAGAACCGGTGACAAAGGGCAGCCCTGGCGGAGTCCAACATGCACCGGGAACAGGTCTGACTTACTGCCGGCAATGCGAACACAGCTCCTGCTCCAGTCATACAGGGACCGGACAGCCCTTAGCAAAGGGCCCCGGACCCCATACTCCCAGAGCAAAAAAGTGCAACTTAACTTAATGTTTTTCTCTTCTTTATTACACATTTTTTGGCTGGTGCGACTTATGCTCCAGAGCAACTTATAGTCTGAAAAATAGGGTAAACACAACCTCTGTTTTAGTCTCTCCCCACTCCCAGAGCCCAACATAAACCTTCTGATACTCAGCTCTTATAACAGTGTAATTACTATTTTAGTGCAACGTAAATAACTTTGTAGTCAAACACGTGCTACACAGACTTGCAGATCTTGCGTCTGTTTGTGTATTTGTCAAATGAGCTCTGTGTTTGTGAAAAAAGAATTTCCTCTTGGGGACGATAAAGTCTAAAGTCTGAACTCAGCCTAAATGTGCAGGTTTGTGTGTTAAACGTGTGTGAACGAAAGAAAAAAAACACAAGTCCAGGTCTGTTTGTGACGAGGAGACGACATTAGAACAGAATATGAGCTCTTTAAGTGCGAGACCACGTGACCTTTGATAATGTTTGTCTTCCACAGCACAATCATCACACTGCATCACATCCTCACCATGTTCGGCTGCGGTTTTAGACGCGTGTTTTAACAAGCCACACGTGACACAAACCCAAAGAACACAGGCACACAGACGTCATGTGATCTCCGTGTTCAGGGACAGAACATGACTCCACATAAGCTCTGGCTCTTATCAGCTGTGGGGGAGTTTACTGTACCCGCGATAATGCCGTCCATCTGCTCCAGCGCGGCCGCCAACATGTCACTGGCATCGGACATCATCTTTGGGCACGCTCAAGTCTGGAACGGAAGAGAAAAGAGAGAAAAAGGTTGATCAGATGTTCTATGTTACGCAAAACTGACTCTTGTGAGTTTTAAGTAAAAATATTAACTTGTTATTACTAAAGTACAAGTTCACCAAACTATGTGTATGTTTTATTGGACATCAGTTTCTGTGACACAATTTCCACAAGACGAGATATGAAATTGTGTCCACGAGAATGAGATAAGACAAGATTTTAACATAATTCACGATTCACTTTCAGATTTTGGCCTCACGATTTTCTTATTTATTTGATTTCACATTTGTGTTTCCATTCTAGTACTGCTTTTCTGAATCGTAAGACGTGACCCGAGAACACGTAACCCTTTTTTATCCAATCCAAATGTTAACCATCTCACGATTTAGTTTTTCTCACGTGTGCTCGATCTTGCAGCAATTTTGTCGAGATCTTTTGATACGAGATCATGTCCCATCCCTAGTTTCTATGGATTCCAAAATCAGTATTAGCCATGAAAAAAAAACACATTAGTCCGTCTCTACGTAGGATTCAAGACGGGCTCTGAACTAAAAACTGAAAAGCTCACTGGATTAAACCCAAAAGCTTTGGTATAGGACAAGATCTCGTGCCACAAGATCTCGCGAGATAAAACTGTCATGAGACACAAGCTGAAAATGATCTTGTTGTTTTTGTATATTTATTATCTTTATTCTGTTATTATCAGTGTTGCCAAATTTGGTGGGTGCCGGTCCAACTGGGCGTCTTTGGACGACACTGGACAGGGAGGGGAAGCCTTAGGCAGGCAGGTAATATTTGGGCGACTTTCAGCAAGTTTGAGTGTGTTTTGTTTTCACACCAATCGATGCGATACGCAATAATGCAATAATGCAATAACGCGCAATAACGCGAGGAACCGTCTGGGACTTTCACTCTTGTCCAGTCGTACGGAGGCGCTCTGGTTTTGACTTGTGCACAAATGAGCAGACGTCCGTTCAGACCTCACCCTGGTGTTCAGCTGTTGTAGAGATTCAGTTCTTCGATGTTTGAGTCTCAGGTTCTGTGTTTGCAGCTTCAGGAGCCGAGGCTTTAGTCGAACATTGATGATTTTCTTTTTTATGCCTGATGAAAACGCTGTTCTACGTTTTACCAAAGGTTTTACAGAACATGTTTTCTCAATCCTGGCAATGTTTTCAAGTTAATAGATTACGTTACAACATGTTTATTCAAAAAATAATAATAATCTGTGATAAATGAAAATACAGTTTTACATTTAACATCTTTCCTCAATACTGACAACGTTTTTTAAAAGCCAAACAATGGATTTCATACATTTATTCAAAGACTAAATGTTTTCTGTTACAAAACGTTCTTGGGTGTTTTTTTGCTGAAAGAGGGCGGGTTTTCGATAGGCAGTCTGGTGCCACCTAGTGCCTCTACACAATTTCATTTCTCTCAAGTGACTAGATCAGGAATCAGAAAACACTAGACGGTTTGCAAGAACCTCGGAAGTGCGAGTTCGGGCACCAGCCAATCAGCAAAGAGCCAGACATTCTTTGTTGTCAACGATTCCTGAGATCGAGAATTTAAAGCCGGAACAAAGAGAATGTTTGGTGAATTTTATCAAGAAAGAAAGACGTTATTGTCCTTCTTCCTTCAGGATTTGGGAAAAACTTAAAATACCAGTTATCCCCATTAGTGGAGCATTACATACGTCAGGACCAAATATCAGCGATTGGTTAAATAAAAAAAAGTACCCGCCTACTGTCAAACGAACGAATCCTAATGCTGCAAGGTCACACAGTTTCTACGAAGTGAAACCAGCTCATGAATCAGGCTAGGTTTTTGAATGTGACTGGGCGGAAATCACTAAACCCAATCTGGCAACACCGATCATTATAATGTATGATTCTACTTGTATTTTTTCCAAATTTCTTCAAGGTTTGAGTGATTTGTTTTGTTAGTTTGCATAAAAATGGAGGAGCGTGCACATGTGTAATAAAAATGCGGATTAAAAATATATATAAAACCAAGATTTTTTGGAGAAGTTGCAGTCCCAAAAAGCCACCTTACAATGACAACGGAAAAAATAAACAAAGTAAATCAAAAATGGTGAGGATTGTACCATTTTTTTTATTATAAACCGAGTCAAAATCTCGTCTCGTCTCGTTCTCGTTCATCCGATCTCGCGTCTCGTCAAAAGCACAACTCGGTTTTCCTTTCCCGGTCTGATCTAAAGTCCCAGAGGCCGTGTGTGGCGTCAGAAGGCAGGAGCCAAAGCCCTCACATCCGCCCAACACCAGAGCCTTTTCAAACTTTATGGAGCCACCCACAGACCTGCCTCTGTTATTCCAGCATTCCTGTGGTGCTTTTTCCATTATAATGAAAATAAGCGGCAGTAAAAACACCATGATCACCCCCAACACGACCAGAATTAGACTCGAGCTCCAGCCCAGACGACCAGACACACACCCGAGTTTTCTACACTCAGGGAGGAGGGAGCACAGCCAGTGATTTGTATTTTTATTTATTTATTTACTTCAGATGCTCTTCCAGACAAGACACACAAGCAGCAATAAACCGTGACTAGTGTAATAATGGGGAGGTGATTTGCCAAAGGACACAACAACAGAAAACGCCTAAGTGACGTTTAACGAAATATAAATGTTTTGGAATAGAATGTTTTGTTAAAGGTCCCACGTTACACAAAACTAGTGTTGTAATCAAGAGTGAACTAATCGAGACCAAGACCAGTCCAAGACCACAGGGTCCTGAGACCAGGACAAGAACAAGACCGAGACAAGACAAAGACTTTTAAAGGCCAAGAACGAGATGAGACCGAGAAAAGAGCAAGAGTTTTAAAGGTTGAGACAGAGACAAGAGCAAGACATCTGAGGGTCGAGAACAAGACAAGACCGAGACTTTTAAAGGCCAAGAACGAGATGAGACCGAGACTTTTAAAGGCCAAGAACGAGATGAGACCGAGATTTTTAAAGGCCAAGAACGAGATGAGACCGAGATTTTTAAAGGCCAAGAACGAGATGAGACCGAGATTTTTAAAGGCCAAGAACGAGATGAGACCGAGACTTTTAAGGCCAAGAATGAGATGAGACCGAGACTTTTAAGGCCAAGAACGAGATGAGACCGAGACTTTTAAGGCCAAGAACGAGATGAGACCGAGACAAGAGCAAGACATCTGAGGGTCGAGACAGAGACAAGACTGAGACTTTTAAAGGCCGAGACTAAGACAAGACTTAGACTTTAAAAAGTCGAGACCAAGACAAGGAGGAGATTTTAAAAGGCAGAGACTGAGACAAGACCGAGACTTTAAAAGGCAGAGACCGAGACAAGACCAAGACTTTTAAAGGCCGAGACCAAGACAAGACCAAGACATCTGAGGGTCGAGACCGAGACAAGACCGTGACTTTTAAAGGCCGAGAACGAGACAAGACCGAGAATTGTAAAGACCGAGACCAAGACAAGACCGAGAATTGTAAAGACCGAGACAAGACTGAGACTTTTAAAGGCCGAGACTGAGACAAGACCAAAACCTCTTTTGTAATTATTTTATTGAATATTTTGTTCCAGTATTGCTGGTTCAACTGAATTGGAAAAGAAAAAGAAATGGACTAAATTTAAAGTCAGAATAGGCGACTTGTGGATCCTTTTATTGTTGCTTCAAAGTTTTTCATTGTTTAAAACTTGAGTAAAACTAATTGTTCAGAGACACAATCACTCAGTCAACAATAAACTATCCTCATTCATGTTCAATAATGATCAAATCCAACTTTATTTTATGATTGATGGATAATGTCTATGGACTTGGGTCACGAAGGTTTGTGACTTTTAAAATACGGGTCCCCAGAAAAAAAGTTTGTGTAACACTGGTGTAGAGGGTCAGAGAGTTCGTTTACCCGCGGTGTGCGGTCGGGGCAATCACGGCGAGCGGCGGCTGCCCAATAAAATCTAAAATCACCGTGTGTCAAAAAAAGTTTCAAATTACATCCAAATAATTCCTTTTTTTTCCTCACTTTTGTCCGTTTGAAACATTGTAATGACGGCACTTTACTGTCATTTACTAATAATTATTACCAAGTACCAATGTCGTTTCTGATGCAAAACGCTTAAAATGCTCAAGTCAAACTGTCACCTCTGAAAATGAATGAAAAAACATGAGTAACCATGACTAAAAATAAACTCTCAGGTCACAGAGAAGAAGCTCATCCTCCCCAGAAACATGACTCACCATATTTCCACCTTTAAAAACCCCAAAAGGAAAAAGAAAAAAAACAGACTTTGCCCTATTTCTGAATGAATCAAAGCAGGAAAAACTGTGAGCGGGGAATCCCTTCAAACTCCTGAGTCACGCTTAAACTCACAGACAAACACACACAAAGGCTCAAAGGCACAAGACCAGACCTGCCTCTATAGGAAACCTGGAGTCTGTGTGTCCACAAACACCAAACAGGAGTAAAAGGAGGAGCAAAACAAAGAAAGCTAATTACAAAGCGCCGCAGTGTGTCTTTAAATCTGTCTCTGCAGAAGCGTGTCATTTTCAGGTTAAAAGGGAAAAATCAAAGAGTTTTCTGTTTTGTTTATTCTGAATTAACCCAGAAAACTTTACACTGAGACGAGAGGACGCAGCTCAGGGAAATATACAGACTTTAACCCTCTCTTATCAAGGATTCATTCAGTTTTACAGTGAATTAAACCATTATTCTTGAGTTTTTGCTTCTTAAAAGTGACATTGAGTGCGTCACATGAGCTCGAGTCTCTGGTCATGATCGGGTTTTTTGAGTTTCCTGGTTTTGTGAGAGTCCGTGCAGACGCAGTTTCCAGATTTCAGTTTCCTGGATAAGTGTCCCGGTGATGAGAAATCAGGAGACTCTCACTGGGTTTGTCCAGGACACTGTGGCCTAGAGCTGCTCAATTATGGAAAAAAAAATCATTATTACGATTATCATATTTTCCACACTATAGGGAGCACTTAAAAGCCTTTAATTTCATCCAAAAATGAGTGCG